TCGGTTTCATTTCCAGATCAATTTTATTACTGACCCACAATTTACTCAAAAAAAAAAAAACACCAAATAGTGCAAATGAAGTTCAATTTTTCGTGGCCATCATCCTGCACAAGTGATCACCACAACCTATCTTTAAATATATGGCAGATGATGATAATGAAAAATCATTCTCCTGCTAGAAAGTTCGGAAGGCCCCAACCTCCATGTCTTCTCCACAATAGGAGCAAGATGAGCCTCCTCTATCGACAGGTTCACTCATCAGTAGTTGCCTCAAGGCTCAAAGGACGCTTTGCCCCATCATATGAATCAAAATGAAATAATTTTTATTCATTAAAGAATCAAACAAATAAAGATGCAGACAATTATAACTCTATGCCGCTAGAAATTTTAGGTAATAGCTCTTAAATTTTTTATACTTGCATAAGGTTAAAAAAAGTTTAATAAATACAAATCCTAAATTCAATTGTGAGTTAGGCATGAAGCAAAAAATCCAATTTTCTTTCTTTTTATAGAGATTTCAGGCTTGCATCTTAGACCAACTTTATGGTAAAAATAACAAACAATTTGAGATTCCTAAAATACAAAATTTGAGTCCAAATTATGCAATTTCTATAATTTTCTTTTTTTTTTTGAAAGTTACTTCATATATTAAAATTTAAGAAAATGTTTACAAGTTTAAGCCCGCAGCAATAGAGGCCTTAGCCATTTTGTGAACATTTTCAACAATAAATCTACCAACTTTGGTGAAATTACAATATGGGATCACTTGAGAAAGAGTCTTGATGTCTTTGAGAAGGCCATTAACATGGTAAGGAAACTTTCCGCCCTTTTCTATGGCATCTGCTGTGATCTTGCTGTCAGTCTGCACTTGACATGAAGTTATGCTTTTGTCGATGCATGCTTGCAAACGCATTAGACACGCCCTCGCTTTTGCCATGATCGGGGAAGATGAGTAGAAAGTTCGGTAACCGTGTGCTACATAAGTTCCTGTTGCTGTTAAGATTACCCATGTTGCGGCTCCTTTTTTCTGTGGGTCTTACAAAGCTCCATCGACTCTAACTATGAAATCATATTGAGATTGTGCTTCACCCAGAGTCTGTAATTGGTGTACTTCATATGCAATTTCTATAATTTTCAAATAGTCACGGTGGCCAACAGATTAATCAATCAAATAAAAGAAATGCAAAATTCGTTCTCATAGCAGAAAGGGGGAGGGGGGAGGAACCTGTACATTTGTTGAGCAACAATAAAAAAAATGTCACATTTAAGATATAATGTATGATCAAGAATTAATGATTCTTATTTGATAGCGAAATTTTGTTCCTTGAAACACCCATACAAATTAGTTATAATATATACACCAAAGAAACTGCATAAGAATACTCGAGTCAGCTATAAATGATTCTACATTTGCTCTCGTCAATCCTTATCTTGATACTTCAAGTAAGAAATCAAACCATCAGAATAATCATAATCGGAAAGCCTCTTTTTTCAGCTCAAAAAATAAGAAATTTCGTGAACTATTAACCAAACACAACAATGAAACAAAATTACAAAAAGATGAGAGCGAAAAGGAACTTTGATCGATGGGAAAACCAAAAAAGGATTCAAACGAAAGAACGTTGTAAAGAGAAACAAAGAAAAAAAATGTATATGCATGGGTGCTACAGTACTGAAGTCATCTCCTTTTAAAGAAAGAGTATAAATTTGTATAAAATAATTTTAATCGATTATCCGCCTTTATTTTGGGATAAGATTACAAATTGAAATTTTTAATAAACCCAATCTACAAATTTGGGTGGTATATTCCACATTAAAAGTCACAAATTTTGGTCATCATATTTGATAATTTGAAAAGATTGTTAGTGATTAAATCAATTTTGATTTCAACTGCTATATTATAATTTAGATAATATTAGGGATTCTTTAGATTTTAAACACTAAATATTGAATTCAACTTCAAAATTGTGATATGATATGAAGGGATTGATCTAATCTTTCTGTTTAGATTTGGTGAATCAAATCATCGAAAGAAAAAATATAGCCATTGACAGAAAAATAGTAAACGTGTTCTTTTCTCTTTTTTTTTTTTCTCTTTTTAATAAATCAAAAAATGGAGAAAATTGCTAGTCCTACATGGCAAGTGGAAAACTATCTCTATTTCTTCTCTCTGGGTTTTCTATTATTAAGCCATTAATTTCAACTGCTATATTATAATCTAGATGATATTAAGGATTCTTTAGATTTTAAACACTAAATATTGAATTCAACTTCAAAATTGTGATATGATATGAAGGGATTGATCTAATCTTTCTATTTAGATTTGGTGAATCAAATCATCGAAAGAAAAAATATAGCCATTGACAGAAAAATAGTAAACATGTTCTTTTCTCTTTTTTTTTTTCTTTTTAATAAATCAAAAAATAGAGAAAATTGCTAGTCTTACATGACAAGTGGAAAACTATCTCTACTTCTTTTCTCTGGGTTTTCTATTATTAAGTTAATATGGATACAGTTGGCACCAAATTGTGGAACTTTATCTTTTCTGATTTTGAGGAACAAAAACACCCCCTGCCTAGATAGGAATGAGATTCTTAAGTGGAGTTTACTTCTCTAATTTAGCCTTAATTAAATATAAATCAATCATATCTCTCTCTCTATAAAGTGGTAGCTTAATAGTTAGATAACCATTGGTTTGGGGGGCAGAAAAAAGTATGTCAAGGAAATAAACAAATCTTTAATTGAAAAAATGGGAAGGGTCAACTGCTTTATTTTTGGTCGTGTGAAATTAGGTTCCCCGTAGATGCAAAATGTTTGGGGCAAAGAATCTTTAGGAAATCACATCTTTATTCCAAAAAGTTTAAAGAATCTTTAACAATTTTTTAATCTCAGTTTTTCTCAGCTTGACACTTTTAACCCCTCGCCATTTAAAAATACTATATCACTTCCAACTAATTTTGATAGAAAATCAAGCGGAAAAAGTGATGCCTAGAGATGACTCCACATATATAAAGAACCATGCATACTTTTATTGCTAGAGCAAAACTTAGGAGACGAAACAATTATTTCATCCGTTCTTAAATTATTGTCCAATTTGAATTTTTATTTTTAGTACAAATTAAATTAAAAGAGAAAATCCAAACTAGACAATTGAACGGAGGGAGTATTTTTTCCTGCTTTAATAAATTGATAAGTGAAAACTGTGTATATTAATGATATTTAGTCACGAATCGTAAAGCTATTTTATGCTCAGATAATAAAGGATTTTTTTTTTTTGGGATTTATTGAATCCGAAACTATAAATGATCGTATACGGCAACTAAGTTAGCTTGATTTTTATATAAGTATATGTTTAGAGTTACAAATCATGGAGTTAATCCAATGATTGATCTCCTAAAATTTGGGAGCTAAATAAGTTAATATCGCACTGATTATTACTTATTAAAACAAAATAAATTGTTAAGACTAGTTCCTCTTTTTATTTTTTCCAAGTCAAACCCCATAACATTTTTTATTTTCTTCTTCGTATACTGTTTGGTTTCGTTTCTTCCAAACGTTTGGAGATGGATCAAAAGTCAGAAGTCGACCATACAATTCAACCAACAACAAGTGTCACATTTTGCATATGCTTTTAATCGTATGCCCATATATTAAATTAAATTAAAATTTCCGAAAAGTAAAAGAAAGTGGTTGAGGGAAGCTTTACCAGTTCAAATGATTAAACCACTAAAACAAAGATCATCGAATTAACTTCTCATTTTGGTGACAACTGTTTTTAAGGGTTTTGTATATACTTGTACTCCATAAATAAGACCAGAATTTTTTATAATTTTTATTTTTATTTTTTAATTAAATCGTTCATGCATCGATCCAAAGACCACTAGCTACATGGCTCCTATGAAGATAAGCTTAAATATGATGATTGACGAAAAAAAAACACTATGCATTTGATCATATCCGAATGTATTAATTTACCATAATTTTATTTAAGAAATTGATTGGCCCATGTTTACGTGTTTAAAATTTTGTGACAATCCCAGTACTTATCATGCCCAACCATTACTTCTTGTTCATGCATATGGTCCGGTTTTTCACCGACTTCTTAAAGGGTTTATTTTTTTCCTTCTCTTTACGTTTTTTGGACAAAGGGTTTTAATTTAGGAGAATGTGTTAGTCTAAAGAATAATTATATAAGTACAATCGTAACTTAATTAATCAACCAATGATGATAAAGATTATGAGAAAATTAATAAATTGATGATTAAGTGTCACCAGAGAAGTGCTCAAAAAAAAATAATAAAAAAATACTCCATCTATCCTAAAATTATTGCCTAGTTTGGACTTTCATTTTTAATTCGTTTTATACTAAAAATAAAAAAAACTAGACAATAATTTTAGGACGGAGGGAACAAAATAAAATAAAATCGAAAGTATCTCTATATTAATCTTTGAGATTATAGGCACTTCCGTGATTATTTCATTTTTGTATATGGCAATGTTTTTTTTTTTTTTGTGAGAAGGTATATAGCAATGTTTAGTTGTTTACTGTTTGAAATTTCGTATAAATGATGTGACCTATTAATTACGGAAATGCATCTTTTTGACCCGAGCTCTACAAGACCGTGCTAAATTCAAAATCTTTATTATCAAACAATCCAAAAGCTATTTTTCTTTTTTAGTTTTTAATTACTACCATTATTAGTTTTAAGTGTTCTTCAGTTGTGAAACGAATAGTGATAATAATTTGTGTTCAAGTAATGGGCCGAAAACTCCTTCAGATAAAGCCCAAATAAATACCGAACTGTCCAGTCCACCGATTTGCCCCTATTTTTCCAAAGACCCGAACCAAATGAGATTACTGATTACCCATTAAACCTGCAACGAGAAAAACCAGAACACAGTGATTTACAGTATAGGAAGAGTTAGAAATGACGAAGCTTTAGGATTGATTTCATTAGAGGAAGAAGAAATAACCCTTTGGTTATCAGAAATTAGGTTTCATGAAAATGATTTCTTCATTTACAAACAAATCCTGTTCTTTGTTGTATTATCAGAAGCACGTAATCAGGAAGAGAGGAAGACAATCATGTATTCCTCTTGGATCGAAGTATTTCCAGCACGCCTGCGGAGGAAATGAATTCACAACCGAAGAAATCACAAGGGCATTGAGGCACAACGATTGGCAATTCGTGTTAGAATCCACAATACTTCCTCGGGAGCCTCTGAACCCAGATGTGGTTGAGTCTGTGCTTCTAAGAAACCAGCTGAACATTCATCCCAAACGCCTGCTTGATTTCTTCAACTGGTCAAATCATCATATGGGTACTCCTCAAAACCTTAAATCTTTCTCCATTCTGGTATTGATTCTGATAAACTCAAATTCGTTTTCGTTTGCCAATGGTTTATTGGGTAGAATGATTGATACCCGGGTTCCTGTTTCCACCATATTGAGTTCATTGTTGGAGTCTTGTACGCAATGTGATAGGTTGAAATCAAGGTCTGTAGCGTTTGAGTTGTTGATTGATGCTTATAGGAAGAGGGGTATGCTGAATGAGGCTTTCTCTGTGTTTTTGGGTGCTAAAGATGGAAGCTTTGTTCCTAATTTGTTATGTTGTAATTCATTGCTGAAGGATTTGTTAAGGAGTAATAGAATGGATTTGTTTTGGAGGGTGTTTGAGGCTATGGCAGAGAGCAAGCTTGACCTTGATGTTTATAGTTACACTAGCGTGATCAATGCTTATTGTAAGATCGGGAATGTTAAGGAGGCAAAAAGGATCTTATCTGAAATGGAAAGTAAGGGGTGCAGTCCAAACTTAGTTACGTATAATGTGGTAATTAAAGGGTTGTGTCGAAGTGGGGACTTGGAAGAGGCTTTTCGACTGAAGAAGGAAATGTCTGAGAAGGGATTAATTCCAGATCAGTTTACGTACTCAATACTCATAGATGGATTATGCAAGCAGAAGAGGTCGAGGGAAGCTAACCTCATTGTGGAAGAAATGGACAGTTTGGGTCTCAGACCTGACCAAACTGCATACACGGCTTTGATTGATGGATTCATGAAAGAGGGTAAAATAGATGATGCTTTCAAAGTTAAACAAGCAATGGTTGCTCATGGATTTAAGTTGAACATTGTCGCTTACAATACGATCATTCATGGGCTTTGTAAAATTGGTTACATGGACGATGCCATGATTGTCATGAACGAGATGTCTGCTGCAGGAATACCCCCTGAATCTCAAACTTATAATTATTTAATCGATGCATACATTCAAGAGAGAAATCTGGACAAGGCATGTGAATTGCTTTCTGAGATGAAGGATAGACATTTGAAACTTTCTGTTTACACTTTTGGGGTTATAATCAGTGGATTGTGTCATTCTCGAGATTTCCACCGTGCAAACCTTGTTCTGGATAGGATGGTTGCTGGTGGTATTCAGCCAAATACCAAAATCTGTGTTGACCTAATAAAGGGCAATTTAGATGATGGTAAGTTTGATGAAGCAATGAATTTTTTGAAAACAATGCGTCAGAAAGGTGTTTTACCTGATACTTTTTGCTACAATGCTGTTATACTTGGTCTTTGCAAAGCGAAGAAGATGGAAGAAGCCAAAGCTTGTCTAAATGACATGAGAAATGAAGGATTGAAGCCAAATGCATACACTTTTGGGGCTTTCATTTCTGCACATACTGAGATGGGAGAAATTTTAGTTGCAGAGAAGTACTTTAAGGAGATGATTGATCATGGTATCACACCAAATCTAGTAAATTATACATCTATCATAAATGGCTATTGCAAAGATGGAGATGTGAAGCAAGCCTTTTCGACATTGGAGTGTGTGCTTGAACGTGGATTACTTCCTGATTTACAACTCTATGGTGTTCTTATAAATGGCCTTTCAAAGAATGGAAAAATGACGGAAGCCATGCAAGTTTTATCCGAACTCTACGAGAAGGGTTTGGCACCCGATGTTTTTATGTACACTTCCATCATCTCAGGTTTTTGTAAGCAAGGGAATATGGAAAATGCCTTCATGCTTCTTGATGAAATGTGTGACAAGCGTATTTCTCCAAATATTGTTACCTATAATGCATTAATAGGTGGGCTATGCAAGTTAGGAGACGTTAAGAGATCAAGAGAATTGTTTGATGGAATTCCCGGAAAAGGTTTGGCACCGAATCATGTGACTTATGCTACTATTATTGATGGTTACTGTAAAACAAGAAACCTAACAGAAGCTTTTAACCTGTTCAATGAAATGCCTTTAAGGGGGGTCCAACCAGATTCTTTTGTGTACAACTCCCTTGCCAGTGGGTGCTGCAAGGAAGGCAAAATGGAGGAAGCACTGAGTTTGTTCCAAGAGATGCTACAGAAAGACATGGCATCTATAGTTACTTTTAATACCTTGATTGATGGGTTTTGCAAGTGTGGAAAATTGACTGAAGCAATTGATTTACTGAAAAGTATGACTGATAAGAACATTGTGCCAAATCATGTGACCTTTACAATTTTGATCGATTTCCATAGCAAGGCAGGGATGCTCAGAGAAGCTGAAGAACTTTTCTTAGAGATGCAGAACAGGAATCTGAAGGCAACAGATGTTACTTATACAGCTCTTTTACATGGATACAGAAAGGCTGGGGACAGCACAAAGATGCTTTCTGCTTTTGAGAACTTACTTGAGACGGGTATAGAGCCTAATGATCTAATATACAGTATGATGGTAGATGCACACTACAAGGAAGGGAATTTGGACAAAGCTTTTAAGCTTTGGGATGATTTGTTGGACAAAGGTTTGCTGAATAGAGTAGTCAATGAGACTATTTTAGAAGGTTTGCGTGAAAAGGGAGAAATGTCTCAGATTTTGGAATTGCTTGATAGTTTGGGAAAGCAGGGATATAGGCCTTGTCTATTAATGTGCGGCACATTGCTCTCTGGACTGAACAAAGCCGGACATTCAGAAAAAATGGACACGATGATCAAATTAATGAGGGGCTTTGGATGGGTTCCAAATTCCATGAGCTTAAGCGACTTAATCAACTTAAGCCAATCAAATGTGACATCAATTCGTACCAGTGATGTCACAGTTCAAGCAGCTCTGGAAGTTGCCTGTGAGGTTCATGCATAGCTCTTTAGGGGAAAATCACATTTGTTTGCATATCTCAAAGCAGGAAGTCATAGTTGCTGCCCCTCTATCTCAATGAGGGACCTGTGAAGTACTATACAGTGAAAGAACAGTTGGAATAATTCTTGAATATGTGCATTAAGCCACTCCGTTTCTTGATGCATCAAACCTGAAGATGCAGTTGCTAAAATGGAAAATAAATTCTGGGACCGGTAACTAATCTCTATGCCATCATTTGTATAACTTCTTAAACTAATACATCTACTTCATCATTTGTCTCGTTATTTGATATTCATTTTCACCATTATCCTATCTTTTACTAATGAGGTTTTTACTCATGCCCTGTTTTCTTCTTTCTGGTAGGTTGGTGTTTGATATTCAAACATGCTGCAAACATGTAATATTTTGCCTTAGAGAATCATGACGCGAGTTGTATAAGTGATAATTTTAAGGTATGCATATTTCTGACACGTTTGCTATGATCGTTGGTGGTGTATTTTGGAATAAGAAGCCTTGACTTTATTTATTCTCGTCTTTAGAAGAAGCAGAGATCGGAGGGAGGTGATGGTTTATGCAGTGACATTTATAGATATCATGATGCATATGCTGATTAGAAATTTGTTGAACAGACTCTCTGCAGCGTGCAAACCTACTTTGTTGCTGCATAATGAAGGCTCAGATCCCCTGCAAGTATGTACTCCAACAGCAACAACATCCAATGAAACATGCGTTATCCGTGCATTGCACTGAAATTAATCTAAATTCATTTTCAGGTGACTGCTATTTTCAGTAAAATCGGAAATGGTTTTCAGTATGTCCACATTTTCAATCTATCTCTGTATGATCTTGTTCTCAGGTATCCAGTTTTTGCTTTCGGTTTCAGATGAGTCTGCACCTTCTGTATTTACTACTGTTACGTGTCTCATGAGCAGGAGCTTGGGAATCCGTGCGAGCAGTCATTCGGACATTTCTCCAGCTATTTGAAGACTCAGTTTGCCGGATTCTATCTTTGTTGTGGTTGTTTCATGGTAGCAACTCTGTAGAAGTACCCCCATCATCTAGCAAATCCTTGTTTTTTTGGTCTGGGATTCGTCTTGCCTGGCTGTGGGGTGCTTAGCAAATAATTAGCCTTGAAATGATTTGGGACTGGGGAGTATTAATCACTGATGAATTCCATGTTATTTAGAGTTGGAGGATTACATTTGTCCCATTTGTTTGGACTTTAATCGAGAGATTTGAAATCTCGTAGGAAAGAGTTGAAATACACAGTATGCTCGGACCCAAAAAATAAAATAAAAAATGAAATAAAATGCAAGCATGGGGAAAAGATGGAGGGTTTCATGTGGAATGCATTGACAAGGAACACAAATTTGGAGATTTTGCATTCTGTTTACAAGGGTTGTGGTAATCACAGACTTTTGATCAATCAATCAATCAATTAATTGGCTTCTCTCTGCATTGGTATTGTTTATGAACTTGAACCTTTTCTGCGCGAGACTGATTGAGAGCCCCAACGCGCCTCAGTTTATGGTGTAATGTCTCCTCCACTGGACACTTTGTTTCTCTTTTGTCTCCATTTTTCAACCAAGGAAAAAGTGAGCTTTTCCATGATAGTAAATCAACCAGCAACTAGTTTGTTGTCTAGCTCCCAACACAATAATATAAATGAATTTAAACACAGGAGCAGCACATATATAGAAGAAGGGAGCATACTCTGCATGGTCATGGAGGACACTCTTCCAGCGGCAAGTACATCACCTTTGACCACTCTGCCTTCACCATCTATGCGATACACACGCCACGCTCCTGCACACTGCACACTGCACACCACCATTTTAGAGATGATTAGGATATGAAAGGTACTACTCCTTCGGTTTCAAAATTATTGTCCAGTTTAGATTTTTATTTTTAGTGTAAATGGAACTAAAAAAAGTGAAAATCTTGACCGGACAATAATTTCAGGACAACGAGAGTACTTCAGAATATACAACAGAACTTAAAAAAAAAAAAATTATAGAGAGAAAGAAGTACCGATTCGTCCCACACCGAGGTCAGTATTCCTATTGAATAACTTTCCATTTCATAAGGCAAAAGAAACTCTACCACACAATTCAGTACCTCTGCAGCCGAAAGTCTCCTCTCTCCCACAAACTTCTGCAACACATACCGCGACCAACCCTTTCTTATTTTTTTCATTTCTCAGTTTGCACACTTTAAAACAATACATGGAAAAACACAAGAATAGTAGTAAGAAAAAAAGTGAGATGGAGGAAAACTAAAACGGAAAAAAAAGGACGAACCAAATTTTTTTTTTTTTTTGACTAAAAGAACCAAGTTTTAAAACAAAGAAGGAATCTAAAGGCTGAGATTCCTGCATGCATAAAATGAAACTGCCATGGAAATTCAACAAGGAAACAGGACAACAAAATCAAACCCTAATCCCAACACAAAGGAAAAGAGGACAAAGATATTACCTTAGTGGAGGAAAAATTGGCCGATCTACCCAAAGATTGACATGCGTTGTCAATTCTACCCTATTCTCTTTCGATTAGCCAATATTACCTTAAGCTATCCAACCGTTAGTCGATTTTGTCCAATTGGCCAATTTCTGTTTAAATTAACGGAATTCTATTAGTTTCATTATAAAAAATATCCTAATAGTTTTGAAAATTATAAAAATAACCCTAAAAATTTGTAAAAATAACCAAACAGTCTTTTTACACTTTTTATTTAATTTTTAATGTTTTCTATTTATTTTTATTATTTATCATAAATATAAAAATATATTATATGATCTTTTTTAAAAAAACTATTTATTTTTAAACACTACTGTGCAAATTTATAGATATGTATATTTATAACTCATGGTTGATTTACATAAACATATTAATTTTTTAATAATATAACTTGACAATAATGATATTAGTTTTTTTAATCCTTTTTTCAATTTAAAGAATAATATTTTTTTGACTAAAAACCAATTTTTTACAAAAAAGTAAAACATTTAGCATAGATTAAAAATTAATATATTAGTACATTTTAATTTATTACAAATTGAATAAACAAACTATAGATTGTATTGTCTAATTCAAAAAATTACTAAACTAAAATATAGTGTATAATCTAATGTTTAGGGTGTTGAGCTTCATGATAGTAGATATAAGATTAATTCTCATCAAAGATTTTTAACCGGGAGAGTGATTTTATCCACATTTATGCATGGTTTACTAAAGGTGAGAGGGTTGAGTTGGATGGTCAGGTGATTTAAGATGGAACATGATTATTACTGTGTTCGAGGCCTCAATTCTCATTGGGCGATTTTTTTTTTTAAAGGTAGAGTCCAGTACTAGAGCAGATTTTTTTTTATTATTATTAAAAAAAAATTACTGCTAAAGTTAGATGTTAATATCTCAAAAAATTATTACGAAATATTAAACTCTCGCAATGATAAATATACATATTTTTTATAAAATATTTTGTACCATTTTTTTTTACTTTCTGTTTGTACTTGGCCTTTTAAAGAAAATGTATATATTAGTTTAATTATTTTTTTAATTTTACAATACAATCTAAATTCTGTTGAATTATATTGTAATAATACATTAAAGTATACCAATAAAAAAATTTAATTTATTTTTTGTGCAAAATTAGGTTTAGTTAAATAATCTTATTTTTTAGATTGAAAAAAATAGATTAAAAAAATAATATCATTACCGTTAAATCATATTATTAAAAAATTAATATGTTTATGAAAATCAACCATGAGTTACGAATATGCATATCTATAAATTTGCATAATAGTGTTTTAAAAATAAATAGATTTTTTTAAAAAAGATTATATAATATGTTTTTATAGTTATGAGAAATAGTGAAAAGAAATAGAAAACAGAAAAAATTAAATAAAAAGTGAAAAAAGACTATTTGGTCATTTTTATAAATTTTTGGGATCATTTTTATAATTTTCAAAACTATTAGGGTATTTTTTGTAATTAAAACTAACGGAATTCCGTTAATTTAAACGGAAATTGGCAAATTGGACAAAATCGGCTAACGGTTGGGTAACTTAGGGTAATATTGGCTAACCAAAAAAGAATAAAGTAAAATTGATAACACATGTCAACATTTGGCTAGATCGACCAATTTTTTTTTCCTTAGTGGAGGATTCATCAGGTACACTGGAGGCGATATCCATCTTTTCCTTATTTCCTTAAATCCAAACAAAACAAACAAAAATCACCAAAACAAAATTTTAAACAAAGGGTGGAATGGAAACGTATGTACGTGAAGTGCTGCATCTCTTTTTCATATTAGGGCTGGAATGACTGACCTATTTTTCCAAAAAAAATTGGTTATTCTGTCCAAAACTTTAATACCGCTGTCAATATTACCCAAAAGTTTATTAATTAGTCAATTTTTTTTTTCCTAATCCCCTATGTTTTCCTTTTTACTACTCCCTCCGTCCCAGCAAAATAGTACACTTTGAATTTTGACATTTGTACTAAAAACAGTACAAATTTAAAAACTCAATATGGACAATTTTTGGGACGGAGGTAGGAGTATTTCTCTTGCAATATTTTCTTCGGACCATAAAAGTATGATTTCGGGTAGCTTTTAGATCGGGGAAGAAAAATTTACGGTTATATTTTTTTTTCGTGGTTTTAATACTTTTAAATTTATTTTTTATGGTAAACTAGTATTATGGTATATTATGCAAATGATAGCAGTGCAAGTACTGTTGTATTATATATGACTATAAAATACTATGAAATGGCATTTGATCTTCAAAAATAATTCATGTCATGATGTCATAACTCTCACTGTTTGTTAGTTGCATAAAAAAAATACTTTTGAATGATCTATTTTTATTATTTTTATTTCTACTATCAATCTCTCATTTGATTAAAAAATCTTGTGTATTGTATAAAATTTTATTGTGAAGGGAATAAGAAGAGGTGACAATAGTGGTGGCGGTGGTAGTGAATAAGGACAAAGAATAAAATAAAATAGAGTATTACTAAACGCAGCTTGATTTTACTTTTTACAATTTATAAAATAGACTAAAATACCTCTAAAAAGTTATGTAAAGTAAAATCAAACTAGCCAAATAAAATCAAGCTATATTTAGTAATATTCATTTTTGTCTTGCTATCAACGTGTTTGAGATGGGCAAAATTCTTCCGATTGTAAAATCTTATTACTAAAAAAAATTGTAAAATGATCTCACCAACAAAAAAGTTAGCATCAAAGTCGCCAATCGCACCCAAAAAAAAAAAATCGCACCAAAAGCAGCGATTGCCCAATTTGCGAAAACCAAAGAAAAAAATCACCCGTCACCAATTATACAAAGTTAGAAATTTAGCCCAGAACATTTTGCTAAAAAAAGAAAATCGCCAAAAAACCCATAATATCAAAGCTGTCCGATCACACACAAAAATGAAAAAAAAAACGATAATAAAAAATTCACCCAAAAATTACCTTACTTTTTCCTCTTTTGCGTATTTTTACACCATAAAAAATTAGTGAATTTTCGATCGTATATTGAAATAGTATGTGTGAAAATATAGAAAGAGATTATCGTATAAAAGAATTCGGGAGAATTTAGAGTTCAAAGGTATTTTAGTCTATTTTAAAATCTGCACGAGGTAAAATTAAGTTACATTTAGCAATTCATAATAAATAGGAACGATAATAAAATATACTCTTTTGTTCTAAGAAAAATTGTTACTTCACATCTCAGAACAAGCACAAAGGAAGCACAGGTATTAAATGAATTCCCTTTCTGGAGATTTTCTGTGCTAGTTTAGCAAGGGATTCTATTTTAAACCCCCACCTTTTTTATTTTTTTTTATTTTTTATCGTTTACATAATATTCTTTTCTTCACGAAGGAGTTACATTTTAACTTGTCGAGGGTGTTGTGAGAGCACAGAACAATGAACTTAGCTGCCACGACGCCCCAACTAGTAGGTTTGTTCCAACAATTACTTAAGTGTTCGTTCTCGTGTTATTGAAAATGGTTAAATAGATGACTCCCCCACTCATCACCTATGTAGGACTTGGGAGACATGCTTGCTTGACAAGCCCCGCTTCCCTTAGGGCTTAAAATCAAGTGGTTTTCAGCATGTCGACATTGTTCCTCTATTTCTATATGATTTTTGTTCTCATGCACAAAGGTCGATGAAAGCTTGTCCTGTTAATTTTTCGTTGTTCAATCTCTTTTTAATGCTCTTCAATTGCATTTTTATGATGACTGAAAACTCGAACTTCAGGAAAAACGTAAAAATAAATAAAATAAATAAAAATTCAAGCTTTTGGAAGAGTTTTCTTCTTGTAATTATAACAGAACAGGAACATACACAACCAAAATGGAGGAAGACAACTCTCTGCACTTTTCATAACAGGAATAATGGAGTTTCCACCGTCCAATCCAATCAGAACAGCTACACTAATCAAAGGGATCTAACAAACACTTGATGAAACTACTCCACAATACGGGGGGCCCCTTACTGATCTTTTCTGTATGTACTTCAAAGTTATGTACAACAAAAAGGCACTCCTGCCTGCCAAAGTTACCAGGCAAAAGAACCAATAAACGGCTTAGAGACGAGAAAGGTGCATCTTTACTAACAAAACTGTGTTGTTGACATCATAGGTCTTTCGGGAGAAGACATGCGTTAACCAGCTAGGCTGCAGGCGTCCTCCATTTTCAGAAGACTTCCAAGTCTTCAGCAATAACCATTTCACTTAGTCCGGATAACAAGAATTCGATGCATTGCTTTATTATCCGTGCCCAGAAATAGCTATATGGTTATCTGGAAATAAACTGCCAACCCATATCCGGCAACTTAAATCCTAGGATAGAGGAGGTTGCGCTCCCTCCATTTTGAACTCTTGGTGGTCTACCACAAATTCGTGGTTTAGCGCTATCTACTGACATTCTTCATGATAGAAATAATTTCAATGTCATCTAGGCCAGATTCTTCAACAAGTTGAAGGGGCGTTTTCCCCTCTTTATCAGCAGCTTGCAGATCAGCTCCCCTGCCACCAGAAGAATAGTCAGTAATTGGGTGGTTGCTGATGAATTAGAAATAATCTACCCATCAATAGAAAAAGAAAAAAGGAACCCGCACGTATTATTAGTTAGATACTAATTCTAAATGGTCAAAATTTAGTCAACATTTTTATAAAGCCAATTTACTTTCTCAGCTTTGTTCCAGAAAGAAGGAAATTTTCAATGCACAGAGCCAAAAAAAGGAAAGTAATCTTCAAGGTTAAAATGCAAAAGCATGAGATAGTTTGCTGGAATTTGAGTAGGAAAAGTTCAGACATTGTTCTAAGAGTCAACAATCTCACCTGTTGAGCAGAAGCTTAGCAATCGCAGTTCTTCCTCTAATTATGGCATGATGCAATGGTGTTCGACCCCTTGAATCAGAAACATTTATATTTGCTCCGTGTTGTAAAAGCAGCTCTACCATACCGACGTCAGCAGTTTGGCAAGCCAGGTGAAGCAAGGAACAACCATCAAGTTCATCTACAGGCTGATTCTTACTGGTGCTACCTTGGTTTACAGATCTTACAGAATCACCATCCCCAGAGTCACCACTTCTGTTAGGACTGACATGACCCTGCATCCTAAAAGCCCTGGCTAGTGTTAAGGGTGTACCGGGTGAGCCTTGCCCTGGGATTGCATTGACATCTCCTTCACAGACAACAAGGAGGCGGTACACTGATTTCTTGTCATTTATCCGTACACTTTCCCACATTTGTTCTGTAACTGAAAGAAGATGCTGTCCCTCCTTCACTTTCTGAACAAAACGCTTTTCTGCATACTAGGAAAAGAAAACTTGAACATCAGTTCATTGATCAAGGTATCAAGTCCCCAAATCCAGATGCTACCAAAGTCACAAAAAGCACTTAGGTGCTAGTCATACTTGATATTCAGTTTGACTTAAAAGTTTACAGATAGTATACACATTAATATCTGTCTAGGAAAGGAAAAACTATTATTTGAGTAAAGTGAAATAGAAGAAAGAGATAAGAGAAGAGTTGTTTTCAGATTCAGTACCTTTGCATGAATGAACTTCTCCTTAAGCGAGATATGATCATCACGACTAGGTTTGCTGAAGAATTGTTTGTGTTTATCAGACTCAAATATCCTACAGCAAAGAATTCTCAAGTTTTAGGGCACAAAAGAAAAAAAAGAAAAAAAAAAGTTTTACGCCATATAATATAAGGCAACTAATAGATTAAGTAGCCTGTGAAATGTATACCGTCTTGGTATTTCATCAGCCTGGAATGTTTTTCTCGCCTGCAAGAGCCCCTCCCATATTGAATTTACAAAGACATTGCCCAAGGCCTGAAAGAGAGCTATGACGGAAGGTTCCCAAACTTTTACATCAAGGGCAAGGGATCTTACCTGCATTGGTTGCAACCAAATGTCATAGGATGAACATACTCATTTGAAACTAAAATAACCAACAGTCTCGCTGTCATGACTTATCTTTCAGATTTTACAGCGTAGATATGTACAGCCCGAAAAGATTAAGATTAAAACCTAACAAAAAAAGAAAAGAAAAGAAAAACAAGCGCAAAAATAATTTTAAATCTTGCCTTTGATATATGTACACCAAGATTGCGATGAACGCCTGAACACTCAATACAAATGAGAACACCAAGATTTAAAGAAGCCCAGTCTGGCTCAGCCGCACCGCAATCAGCACACTTATCATTCCCAGGTAATCTTTTTAATGCATCAACTGGTTTCTCTCCTTTCATGCTATAGTATAGCTGCAGTGAACTTTTAGATGCACGTGTAAAGTTCCTAGAAGGCAACTCCCTATCAGAAACAAGCTCTTCAAACGGTCTCTGATCATATTCTGTTGGACTTCCAATGGAACTACTTTCACTACCTGGGCTTGCGGCAAAAAGCTTTTGCAAACACAAGAATCAGTATTGTTCATTAGATCGAAAAAGATTAGCGACATAGATGCAGTTCTATCTTACCCTATCAGGTTCCTGGGAACTTAGTAAAGAGGCAATTACTCCAGTTATTTTATCTATCCAATCCATTTGTTCTGGTGCACTTTCTGCCTATATCATAAAATAAAAGGATAAGTAACCAAGTTGATTTTGAGATACTGGGATAGGAACTTAGATAATCACATCAGAGCTGTCCCACCAAAGCAAAAGATTATTACACTCAAATCCTTAAATCAGATTCTTTAATGTACCTGCAGGGTGTAATTTTTTGCTGGGGAAATTATCCTGAAGCAGAATCTGAGATCTGACTGTTCAGCATCAGCTTTGATTGTTGATGTCAGCAGATTCACCGTGTGGCGAGCAACAGACTTTTCATCATGCACACCACCATGATAATGAGATGACAACCAACGACTCAAGAGTCCAGAACCTGGCTCAGATGGAGAATTCCTATGTACAGGTAGGTTAGTACCAGATCCCTGAAGCGAAGGAGCGAGTTTCAGTAAGAGAAGACAAATCACAGAAAGAAAAGAGCCAACGACAAGCAATACAGGGTTTACTTACAGATGTCCTGCTCAGTTGCTGCTTCCGATAATAATATAGCATTCCTCGGCTATCAAGTACAAAAAATCTTCTCTTCCAGTCACCCCTCAAATTAGAGGAACGTTTTGAGAGATATCCTTGCTTAATGATTTGCACCTAAACTATTGAAATCTTAGCTAAGAAATGGGAAGCCATTGCAAAAGAAGGTATAGCACGAACTATGAAAGATACAATGTAGATTTATATAGGTAGAGGGTGAAAGTAGAATCAAGTTAATCACCTTTCCTTCCACGGCCGATTGCATAACGGCCTCTATGACTTTATGAGAATTTCTAGGAAATTGGGGTAGTAAATCGTTACTTGGAGAACAAATAAATCCATTAAAGGATCTCCTGCTCTCTTGATCAATCTGCCTTTTGTATTCTTGCATTCTTTCATTCAGAGCAGCCTGCTCATAATTGGAACTTTCTCTTGCATGTTGTGCATAAGCCAAAACCTGTCATAGAATAAAGTGCCAAAACTCAATCAGACAAGATTGATACATCAGCTGACATCAAAAACCACAAAGTAGGCCAGGAACTATTTCAACCACAGTAGATAAGACCCTTTCGAAGTGACATTTATCAGTTAGTTTTTTGGGCTTGGAGCTATAGGTTATGGCCGAAGTCAACCAGCTTAGAAATTTTCAATAATGCAGTAGATTACAGGGTGGAAATAATACTATCACTTACACATCAACAGTACGAAAAAGTCAATTTGAATTTGATTAGTAAGCTTAACTTGCATTGAATGATCTCTAAGTGGCCAAAATACTAAGTGCCACACATTAGGGTTTTATTTTTTATTTTTTATTTTTAAATGAGAATGGCCACACATTAGTTGTCAAGGTTAACAAATCAACTCCAATTTTTGGGAGATGAGCTTTCTTTAAGGGTCTCTCTTCTGTTCTTCCTACTCCCTTGATGCTTAAACATCTCACGTGATTATACTTGCAGACAATAAAGGATACCAATGCAAATTATCAGAATAACTGAACCCTTCAAATAAATCGAAAATAAGACCTGCTTTATATAAGGCTCCATCTGATGTAAAAGCTCATATCCCTGAACACAAAATCAGTAGTTTTCAATCAGGGCATGCATCAGAAGGCATATAAGAAATACTACGTGTTTATCAAATAATCTCAAACACCTGTTTGAAATACTGAAGATGAGCATCCATTGCACTGCCTACAGCCTCCAAAAACTCAAACCGCTTCTTTGCCTCAACAGAAGAAAGAGCACCAACCTGAAATTTGACAAAATATTGATAAAGAAAACCATTTATCAGGCTGCTTTTATTTTGAAAGTTGTCCATCTATGAGAAAGTTTGATTGAAAAATTTAATGTACCAGATTGAATCGTGCTTGCTCAAACACAGATCTTGCATTGTAAAGTTCCTGGAACGTCTCTCTACCAAATTAGATATTACAGATAATGGTTACCCACAACCAACTATCTGATCAATGCGAGCAAGTGGATATAATTCATAAACTATGTAGAACTGATGCTTTGTACCTCCTCAAAAGCAGCAGCTACATCATTCCTAGTGTTTTTCCTCAGTGACAAGTACTTCTCACGGGCCTGAGGTTGGAAAAATGAAAACTAGATTACTAACACAAATTTACTTTCCAGTAACTAGTTTCTAGGGCCATGATAAGAAAGCCAGTAATTGATCAACTATACAAACACTTTCGAGTAACAGCCATATTTACATTCTGAGAGATATAGAGAAATAAGCACTAAGTACTGAAATAGTACTCTAGTTTGAAATCAAAATAATGTCCTTTAGCTTCTACCTAAATCATAAAGCTAAGGTAAGGATGGCTAAAGTTCAAGTTGAAATTGAAGCAAAGGGACTGAGAGAAATGCTACATGACCTCCCAAGAAAAATTACTTAATCCAGATACAAAGTTACCGTACGAGACTGATTATCACAAAAAAAAAAAAAAGGAACTTCAGAAGGTGAATGGGCATAAAATTTCTTTGAAATTGACAGTCATGAAAGACAAATACAGACACTGATATCAACTTTTAACAGATGACGAGTACCTGGTCATATACGACATTAGCCTTCTCAAAGCGCTTGCGAGCTTCCTGCAGATACATGACACTTTTCTTTTAAGACTATAATGATCACTGTTTTATAATAAGAGGAAACTGGGAATACTATGGGCACATACAAACATAGGAGCAAATATTTAAACAAAAGAAACCAAGTGACAATATACTTGGAAAAACTTGCTAACGCCGTATATTTTGTTACTTCCCAAAAGAAATAAAGGACACCAACAACATAAGAGATAAAACAGAATCCTTGCAAGACGTTAACATTGCAACAAACATCATAGAGCAGGCTAAAGATGCGAAGCTGTTTCTGATGACAGAACAGGTCTTTGATTGCTGGAGTACAGTTTCTGCTTTTTATACTAAATGTCGAAGGAAAGTAACTTTCAGTACCTTTATATCTAAAAGATCAACATTTGCAAAATGCAGCAACCTATCATTTAGTATGTGCTCCACCTTGAAAAGGGCCAAAAAACAAAAAAGGGAGAAGCATGTCAGCCAAAATAATTCATCACATAGAAAAGAAGTGGAAAATTCAAACAGTTGTTATACTCAGATATTTTTACATTATTAGTGGTTTTTCTCTTCCCTTTTCGTTAAGAGTAATCAAAAGATAATTTCATTTCCCTCCTTGAGTAAGTTTGTGTAGGAAAGAAAACCAATATCCCCAGCATAATTTGAATTCTCAAAGAGTCAAGTTACCAGGAATACTAGGATTACACATACTAAAATGACTCGTGAAGGACTAAGAAGATTAAATGCCACCTGTGACCGAAGAACTTCCTTGTACATTCCGATTTCCCTTAGAGCAATTGCAAATTTGGCCATATCAGGACCTGATATTCAACAAAAGCTTCATCAGCTAAAAGAAAGGAAACTATAATCGGTCCAAGAAAACAAAGAAATACATAGGGACAAAAAACAAGGGAAAAAAAAAAGAAGAAAACAAGTAGATCACTGTGCACAATCAAAACATACGCCATCTTCTTAGGGGAGAGCTGGGTTTCTTTTTTCTTTTTTTTTTGGTTGGGGGGGGGTGGGAATTATTAGCTACAGGTTTTGATCAGAACTTTAGGATCTCTTTTTGTATTTGTTTTTTCTCCAATAAATAAGTCTCTTTTTTCGGCATTGCCTCCTAGTGAACTGGAAAGTTACGAACTCCAGATTGTACCATTTTCACATGCCACTAGGTCAAGCATGTAAAGTACCATGAGCTATGATGCCAAATATCTCCACTTCTTCAGTATAGGTATACAGGTAAAGAAGTTCACGAAGATGACACAATTGGGCAGAAAACAACAAATTAATACCTCCAAAGGCAATAGATATTGGATCATTGTGACCCCCACCAAATGTTTCAAGAGCACTTGCAAAAGAAATGTCCCTATCGTATGCTTCTCCAAGACCTTCGCTGCAAATTTAAGCACAAAGGCGAACATATCTTAATAAGCAGATCTGGGTAGAAAGCCATAAATGACACGTTACTGTAACAATTTTGTTAGAATGTAAAGGAGAATAGTAGACTGATGCAGATGAGCATGATGACCGTAAAATGGGATCTAGACTTACACATACTTCCGACATCCTTTATGGAATTTTATACTTCTTTCCCTAAGTATATCGGCAGTGTCTTCCAAACTCTGGAGCTGATTCACCAAACAAAATTATAAGCGTCATTTTTAAGTGGAGCATCTGCAATTTAAGTAGGATTCATATAGTCAAGGTTGTAAATCTTAATCATAACTGTAAAAGACCAAAACTAGTTGATAAATCTGAGAGTTGACAGAAGAAGAACTACCTCACGGTGATACAAGAAGCATATTTGGTATGAAGAACCTTAACTTAGATTCTAAACAGTTAAATTTGTTCGGAAGGATGGCTTTGCATTTAATGCGGCACCAATCATTTATAGCCCTTTTGTATCCAGTAATAATGACAGACAACATCTTTGAGGATATTTTAAACTGGAATAATCCTATGACATCTTTCATGTCCATAGAATAATTAACAAAATACCCTATGAAACTATGAAACATTACTGGGAAGGAGTCCAATTAGAAGTAATTACTACTTGGTAGAGTGCTCTAATACAAAGGACATCACACCCAATATAATTAGGGTGATTATTAAAAAAAAACATTACTGGGAAGGCATTAAGCGTGGTAGAACATCTTGGCACCATGAGAAAATAAAGCACCAGAAAGAGCGTGAACTCCATTGCTTCATTAACATAGTAAATCCCAATTCCACAAGAATGAACAAGGCACATCACAGTCCCAAATGAGCTCACTTATATAAATCACACTTCAGCCCAAAGTTCAATCATTTCCGTGATTATACGCTCCAGCAGAATAATCTCGATATCATCAGTTATGTCAGCAAAATTGAAGGTATTCTATCTTCAGTTCTAGCTTCAAATAAGCCCTATTTCCTACTTTGTTACCAAGCTACAGCCTACAAGCGAAGCTTAAGTTTCGGGCTTCTTCAGTCAGTATGTTCTTACAGACCATAACCTAAGATACAGGACCATGATGTATGGAATATATTTACAAAGGTATGGGGTTGGGGATACAAAAAATGTGGCAAAAAATTACTTGGAGAAGAAACCTTCAACCAAATGACGTCAACTGGGAAACCTACAATAATGTGAAATCAGAAGCAAACTACACTTACAGATATTCCACCAACAACAACACATATCTTTTGCCAAAACACAACGGAAGGAACCTTATTGGAAGAAAACATCAAATTGAAAGCCTTCATTTACATCGAAATTAGGAGAAAAGAAAAGGGACAATTCCAACTAAAAACCTGTTGCCGAAACATGGGAGAATCATCCAGCCTTGCAAAATGCATCCTTGTTTCTTGCATCATTTGATCCTTCACAAAACTAAGTATCCAGCTTCATATACCACTAAGATCACCCAACGAGACACAGAAAAATTCCACCAAAATCCCACCTTTTATTTCCAACACATCCTTAATCACGAATATAACCCAACCCCACGAAATTTCAAGGAAAACCCACTTCGATAAACATCATAAACGCAATTTATCTTGCACATAACTGAAAAACAGAAAAACAAAAAAAAGAAAACGGGTGAGAAAAAAAAGAAGCAATTTTTTTTTTTTTGGGGGAGTTGAGAGTTGTTGGATAGAGCTCAAAATAGAGCGGAAATGGAGGAGGCAAAAATGAGTTGTCGAAGCAATGGGGACCAATTTATGCGATATTTCATGGCTGTCACTGAACGAAAAATTGGTAAAAGCAAAAAAAAGAAACCTTCAATCTCAAATTTTTTTCCTACCCAATTTGAGAAGTGGGGTTGGATTGGAATTGGTAAAAATTCAGGATTTTAGAGTAAGATCATCAATCAATCAATCAATCAGTAGTAGTAGTACTTAAATTCCAATTCCAGTGGCTACCCAGTTGAGTAGACAATGAACAAGTAGTATTAAATTTGTGTGGGGAGAAGTAATAATAATGATTAAGAAACATGAATGAATGAATGAATGATAGTGCCCGCCAAATGCCCCCTATTTCCCTATTCCTATTTTTTCTCCTTTGCCAACTCCAAAGTTTGAATCGACAACTTGGCCCAACCTTTTTCCCTTCTTCTTTCCTTCTTTTTCTATTTTTTTTTTTCCTTTCTTTCTCTCGATAATGTAACCAACAAAAAGATATAGAAAATTTGCACTTTTCTGTTTCATTTTCATTTGTCGGTGAGGTTTTATCATTTATAAAAAATTATTATTATTATTACACACACATCCGAGTAATGTTTATTATACTTATTTCGTCCCACGAAAACAGTACACGTTAAGTTTTGTACTGTGGTTAGTATAAATTTGAAAATTCAATGGGGACTATTTTTTTGGGACGGATATTATGTTTCAAGAACGCTTCGAACCTGCCAAAACAAAATGTACACTATTTTAGAGAACGAATTGAAAATTATTATAAATTTGGAAGAGAAAAAAGAAGTGTAACTTTGAAGCTTCCTGCATTTTTTGTTACTATTTTTCTTTACAAAGTAAATTGTAACTTTTGCAACCTGTATTATAGTAGTGGATACAAAATTGATGATTGATCTGGAACTTGAATTTTTTTTTTTTTTATATATGTATAAAAAAACCAATTCTTTTTAGTTGAAAATATTGGGCAGTATATATTGTTTATAATTCTGTTTAGGAATCAGATTTTATTTTCCTATTTTTCTTTTTGTCTATATTTTTTTAGTTAATTAGTTCAAAGGAAGCACGCCCCCTTCGATCCTTATTATAAGTTATTTTGATTTTGTCCTAAGTTTCACCTAAGATATTTTTTTAATTGGAAAAAGATCCTAAAAATATATTTTTTGTATTTTCCTAATTACTATGAAATGTTTTTAAGGTTTTTATTTCAACTAAAAAGACATCCAAAGTAAACCCAGGACTAACTTTTCTTTTCTTTTTTATTTCCCCCTAAATTCTAATCATTTGGTACTAATTAAATAAGATGATAATTTGAGACGACTATCATGTTGTTGAAGACTATAATAATTAACTTGAAACACTTTTTTTTTTAAGAAAAGGAAACACTTCTCAAAAGACTGATGAAATGTACTAAAACTATTATCGAAAATATACTCATTTCTATGTTTAAGTTTAGTGTAAACGGACCGATAAACTTAAATAAAAGATCATTAATTTCTCAAGATAAGAATAAATTTGGTAATACGTTTTTATTCTCATGCCTTACTTTAAAATGTACACTATTATTCTAATTAATAATTTTCATGTAAATATGAAAAAAAAATTATCGATTTTGTTAAATTAAAAAAATGTCATGTACTAGTACAGACACGTTGTAGTAAATATTATCCATTTTTCAGGGTGGCATGCAAGTCATGGGACACACTTTTAGAATAAATCGTACAACAAAATACAGCATTTCTTTCATCAGCCCACAAAGCAAAAACAGAGCAACCCAGAAATTGAAAGTCTCTGTTTTCCAATTCATTCATATCATGCTAATATCCCCAATCCTACTGAATTCTCCATTTGCCAGTTGAGGCAAGTTTTTCTCTTTCCTTCAATTTATGGGTTTGGTTATGTGATCCATTGAAGTTCAGCTGTGGCATTGTCTCTGTTCTTTGACCAATATTTCTGCACATTTCTTGTTTCCAACTTTCTCCATCTATTCTAGAATAAATACAATTTCTTGAAAATTTGACAGACCAAATCGAAGATGGCGCCAGGAGTTGGATTCTACGACAGGAAATTCGAGGCGCTTCGCCAGAAAGATGAGGCAGAGGAGATGATCAAAATCGGAGATTACGCCGGAGCCCGGAACAAGTTACTAAAATCCCAGGAATTTTTTCACCTGGATCACATTGTTTCGATGCAATCTGTTTGTGACATCTTATCAGCTTACATTAACCACATTCCTGGCTGTGATATTGACTACTACAGAATCCTTCGTCTCAATGCTTCATCCACCACTCAGGACATAAATCTTCAGTACAATAAATTTGTAACCTTGCTTCAACCTATAAAGGGTTCATTTCCAGGCACGGAATTAGCTCTTCAATTCGTCGAAAAGGCCTTTTCAGTCCTCTCAAATGATGTGGATCGCGCTGATTTTGATTCGCGCCGGATGAAAGCATGGTCTTTACCTGATGATTGTATAGAAACTGTTGGAAAAAGGGGCGATTTGAGTTTGGAAATGAATCATCATCATGGATTGAGTTCTAAAGCCATTGTCTTGTGTCCTACTGCTGATAATGTTGTATCTGAAGTGGATATGGATATTGAGGTTATTGATGTTGATAACCCTCCAACAATCAATCAGCTGAAGAATGCTTCAAAAGCTGATCCTTTGTCAGTCAAAAAAGTGGTAAAAAATCAGGATTTCTACAACTTTGATGATGACAGAAAAATAGAAGAAATGGAAGAAGGCCAAATATGGGCTACTCGGTATCAGTCGAATGATCGCGAATATTGCAGGTATGCTCAGATTCTGACCATTTCCATTACTGGAGTTACTGTAATGAGGCTGAAGCCGGTTCCGGTTAGTGATCGTCAGAGGAGATGGTGCGAAGCCGGACTACCTGTTGCTTGCGGCTCTTTCTCACTGGATGCTGCTGCTGATTCAGGCACGATGATGATCTCCCCTGTGGAGTTGTCTCACAAATGCAATTGGCAGCCGGCCTTGACGCCGGAGCAGTTTAGTATTTACCCAAGGAAAGGTGAGGTTTGGGCAGTTTATGAAGACTGGAACTTGGAGATATGGTCAAATAATCCAGGAGCTACCAAGAGTTGCAGGTATAAGTTGGTTGAAGTTCTCTCAGATTTATCAAAAGAGACAGGATTAGGCTGTGCTTGTTTGGAGAAAGTTCAGGGATTCAGGAGCATTTTCAGAAGACAGCAAAGTTGCATTATAAACGTCTCCCCAAGCATGTTATATTCACTGAGCCATAGAATTCCAGCAATTAGGCTAACTGGTAAGGAGATTGATGGAGTTGATAGTACAATGTTGGAACTTGACCTTGTAGCTGTGCCAAGTGATATGATCACACAGGCAGATGTTAGGAGAGAGTTGAAGGATATGATCTCAGCTGCTGCTAAATCACACTCAGTGGCAATCTCCAAGACTAAGAATTCTGAAAGTTCAAATCTTGTAAACCTAGAAGCAAGTTCCTCCCATGTCAACGCTTTTCGGGTTTTTGGTAATCCTAAACTGCTGAATGACATTTCGACAGGTCAGGTGTGGGCTACTTATTGGGGAAAACATTCAATGCCTCGCCGGTATGTGCTCATACAGGAAGTGGTTTCGAGAACCCAGCTACGCGTTGCGATTCTGGAACCTGAGCCGACTAGAGCATTGGAGTTTGGTTGGAAAAGAAGGAATTTACCAATAACATGTGGTAAATTTAGAGCTGGAAGAAGTACTCTCAATCTGGAGAAGTTGCAGTTATCACATTCGGTTAGGTTTGAGAAGTACATGTCCGTTTACAAGATTGATCCAGCAAAAGGAGAGATTTGGGCAATGTATGAAAACTGGAACTGCAAATGGGAGGTATCTGATCTGGAAAAAAGCCAGTATTGGATAGTTGAGATTTTATCAGAATTCTCAGAAGAAAGTAAGAGGATCATGGTGGCTAGATTGAAGGAGGTAGAGGGCTGCTTAACTTTCTTTCAGAGACTCCAATCAGATGGATTCAGCCTAATTAGTGAGATTCCCAAAACTGAGATTCTCAGGTTTTCCCATAGGATTTCCTTCTGCAAAGTCCCTGGGATTAGTGATCACGGCATTCCTGAGAACGCTTACCATTTAGAACCTACTGATTTGCCTCCCAAAAGGAGTAAACTGATATGACTAATTGTATTAGTGGTTGACTGGCAAATTCTAAGACTATGAATGTAAAGTGTTTCACGTTGAAGTAGCTTCTAAAATGTCAAAAGAAACTGTTACAGATAATGTGATATTGAAGCAAAAATTCAGGACTTCAAACGGATTCTAAATTTACAGCATTCGGTAAGGTAATCCAACTCCAAATCTCTGATTACCGCCAAAATTCATTGCATTTTCAACTAACAGCAGAAGTAACATCTACAGTGTGGCAATTGAAAACAGTTCTGTAGATTTACAAAGTCAACAAACCAAAAATTTTGTAATATCCTGATTGTAGAAATTTTCTTTGCCAACAAATACTCATCGCCACAGCCTACCCAAGAATCCTTTCCTGTCCTTCTTTGTCCTACTCTCCAATGACGGGAAATCTATGGTATCGTAAACAATGTCAAGAACCACAGGATTTCGAGCAAATGCTTGAAATGCAGGTGGGAAGCGTTCAATACGAGCCATTGACTTCACACTGCTATCAACAGCTGATTCATACACGTCCAAGTTCTCCAGAAGAAATTTCTCAGGCTGAAACAACAAAAGAAATTCGTAATAAGCTACCATTATCACAACCAAAGTTTGTTGAAACAAGTATGTGCAGCAGTAAAATTCAGAGGAAACACAAGCACAATCCACAACGTTCTGATTACTAACGATGGATAACAAACAAAAATGATGAGGCACAACTCTGATAAGATGAAAAGAATCACTCTGGTGACAGTTGCCAGCGCAGAGTTACACACCACATCAAAAACTATGACCACTATCTTGATCAGTAAAGGGAAACTAATAGGGGATGCATGCTTTAGTTTACAGTCTTCTAATTTTTCATATTTATATCTAGAAGCAAGGAAAATTTCAGCATCAGGAAAAAATTCTAGCATGATCAGAATTAACAATCAGCAGGTTCCTCAGACCATATATAAGGTAACTGATGGAGGAACAAAAAGAAAATTGATCACGGAATGATAAAAACAAGGGCCACTTAAGTGTTTTTTTTGTTGTTGTTGTTGTTGTTTTTTGAAGAAGAAGAAGAAGAAGAGGGCCACCACTTAAGTTATTATTACAAATCTCACAATTCTGCCACAGATTTTAACTAAAATCAGTGGATATGTCAGCCCCAAGAGGATAATTATAACCAACTAAAACAGTAAAAGAAATCATCTTACAAGAAATTGAAATGTTTTCGCCGCCAGAAGGTAAGATTCATGAAAAGGAGATATGAACTACTACTACATGCTCCATATACTATGATATTGTAAAAAGCCAATCCAGTCACACAAGTGGCAATTTAATCGACAGTAAAAATTGATGTCTATACAAAACTAACAGTTATAAGAAAACCACATGGTATAATTGATACATTAAGCTTCCATTGAAACATTTGCAAGCAAAAAAAATTAAAAATAAAAAGAATAAAAAATCTTCTGTCAAACGTAATACACTACCTTCTTAGCACCATTCAATGATACTGCTGAAATTTTCTTTGACAACTTTTCCGGAGCCTCCTCTTCCTCCATAACAGCTAAAGCATGCTCTATGCAACTATTTGATCTACTTTCATTGTACAACCTCTGCAGCTCCTTCATCATAACCTTGAAGAAACAAAGACAAATTGGAAAAAAACTAGTAAAGCAGGTTCAATGCAAATGAATTGATATGGATTAGAAACTGGTGCTAATCGGTTAATCAATGAAATAGTATTTAATCATGCCCATCATAAATGGTCAACATGTATGAGCCGGATCGGTTTGCGAGTGCATGGTTTGGTTAGAGAAATACTAGTCATATTTTGACACAGAAATACAAAAAAATTTCATATGAATCATGAGTTCATAAATGCGCCTCTTACCAAATAATCACCAAGGATATAAAGATTTAGATGGCTCAGATTAAAGCTTTGACATTAAAAAATTCAGTGAAGGATGCATATTCACCTGATCAGGGCTCTTTACACTTCGAAGGCTTTGAAGGGCAGCATCAGCTAAAGAGCGGGATCTGCAGTATAAAGCATAAGCTTCTGTCCTCTTCCCAGCAAGACTGTAGGACTTTGCTAAGTAGAAGCATCTGAACAACAAACACAACTTTTAATTGATAACATCTTGCAGTTGAACTTTAGAACAATATAAGAAAAATAGCAAAGCACCATAAAATAAGTCGGTTATACATTAGATGAGGACAGATGATTTAATCTTCAGAAATGATTACAGTGAATTGTAGGGATTGATGCAAGGCCGAAAAAAAAAAAAACAAACAACAACAACAAAATCAACAGAGTGAAGCCACGAAAACCCAAACCTTGCAGCTTTGAAAACCAAGCTCTTGCGGTCACAATCTTCAGCTACAGCCACTTCCTCTGGTTTCCTATCTCGTCCAGAACTAACTAAATCAGAGAGCTCTGCAGTCACCTACAATATAAAAGAGCAATTCCATAAGTCGCTACTGCCATGCATATTGCATAATGATCTTATTATGAAACATATTCACGGAATCATGAAACCATTTTGGTGCTTACCAGTAACAACATACTATATAAATGTACAACTTCTTCAGGCTTCGAGACTTTCTCATTCCTATCACCATCGACCTTGCTGAGTTTGCTTATGGCAGTGTTAACCATTAACTCATATCGTTCAATGTTTAGCTGCCCTATAATAGCACTGATTGCTTTATAAAGACCACTAAGGTTATCCTTCACATTATCAGAATTTCCTGCAGTAACCTGAAAGATGCACAATGTCAGTATCAATTTCATGAAGACCGTTGCAACTATCCAAAAAGTGAAATAGCATAACAGACATCTCAAACTGTACAGAAAATTCAGAATAACTACCAGATCACTATGGATGAGGTTCTTGGCTTCCTCATATGACGACACAATTTTGCTATATATGTTAACTCTTTTATCTGCAGGAGTAGAGTCCGCTTTCGGCCCATGAATATCCTTTTCCAGTTCTTGAGCTGTTTAAATTGCACCCACAAAGAAAGGAAATACCATCAGACCAATGAAGAAGCTATGGAATTAGATACCAAGTTATGAAGTCATTAATGATGATGATTGATACATACATGGGAAATTATATATCACTTTCAGTATCATTTTCAAATAGAAGTAAAGAAAACACTTGAACTAGGAGAACGAAATGGTTTTTCTAACAAAAATAAGTAGATGAAGCAATGAATTCTCAAACTTATGGTACTAACAAAGTTCGTAAAATGCTAGTCATCATTACTCTTCCGGCACCTCTACAAGAAGGTAATGTAACACAGGAGGCTGAGAGATTAAAAAGGCACCATGAACCTTAATTGGCCAGAAGTTTTTTGTTGTTTATTTGAAGCAAACATTAGAAGGCAGCATTAGAAGGCCAATGATACTACATTTCCAATGTATTCAAGGCAAGCAGCATTAGAAGGCAGCCCCAAACACAGGGCCAGAGATCAAGTAAATAACACTGTCTTAATAAGGCAAATCTTGATTATACAAGCAAGCTTCACGAATCCTTCTTCATATGCTGGTTGTAATAGTTAACATATATTGTAATTAATTATTGAAGACTATTTTGATGGTTCACCTAAAGACCCTTTAAAAATTTTACATTAAGGTTTCATTGAGATCATCCGAATAATAGCAAATAGCATAAAACGAAGCCAAAACAACCTCAAAAGTGTTTGAGCTTGTTTACACGAGACTCCAATCAAAGATAACACCTTCGTATATAATAAGTAGTTACAAACCTTTCAGAATAGCCACACGTGCTTTTGCATTTGGGACTGAGAATGTGTGGCCAAGCCAATTCAATTCTTTCATTGATGCAGCTCGCTGGGACCTAGCCTCAGATTTCACAGCCTGTTGATCCAAGAAAAGGCAATTTTTAACATTACAATGAGTAAAAAATGAAGTCATCATGTATTTCCCAAGAGGCAAAGTTCCAGGCTCACCTCCATTTTTGCTCTGAACATATCCAGTGCAGGTCCTTCCATTTCACCTAAGTTCTCAAATTCAGAAATTTGCAAGTTTGATCCACGAATTTTGTGAATACAGTATCTTATATTAGGTTCTATCTCTGCAACCCGATCATTGCACAAATGCCGTATTTCTTCATCTCCATATTTACCAAGTTCCACATAAACGGCACTACAGAAAGAATAAAAACAAAATAAGAGAAGAGGTATTGATTCTTTTTTTCTCGTGGTTTGGGGGTGAAGGGGCTTTAACAGACGAGGTCCTGACACTATGAGAGTCCATTAGCATGCATCAAGTACCTGGCATTTTTAAAACTCTTCAAAGCAACTTCCCAGTTCTGTTCTTGTTCAAACAACAAAGTTCCCCTCATAAAAGATGCGTATGCCTGTACAGTGGAATATGAAAAGTTATGCTAGCATTAACCAAACATGGGGGAAAAGAAAAAGAAGAAGGAAGCAGGCACCACGAAAACACCTTGAGCAGTCCAAAAAATAACATACTTTCTTTGGTGAAACCGCCAACCAATAAATTTCTCAAGTGTTAAAGTCAAAAATTCAAATGCAAACTGCAAATAAATAATTTCTTAAGTTTAAATCCAATGACTGACAAATTCCCCAGAAAATCATATCCAGATGTACAAAAACAAAAAACCAAAAAAAAAAAAAAAATCCAATTAGACATAGTGCAAGCGGAAATCATATGTAAACAAGAAATGAATACATTGTGGGAGCCGCTCACATGGTTCCATTCAGTATCAATCTCAATCGACCAAAGAAATTGATAGAGCTAATTTTAAATATTTAACTAGTATATGAAAGCACGGATCGTTTCAAAGCACTAATTTGTATATTTTCCTTTAGAAGGCAGCCCAATGAAAACAAGCCAGCGCATTTTGGATAGCCCCCACGTGGGCGAGGCCCCTAAGACCTGATGTTGAATATCCTGCCTTAAATTTCTACAGATACTACTTCAGTGACTCCACAGTCCACATAATGCGGCAACAGCTCTTACTAGAGTGCCAAGGTTACCCTTCCAGAAAGTTCCATATTAAAACATCAAACATGGCCAAGTTCTCTTTCCAGTTAAATATCATCTAGCTTTCTGTATCATAAAATGCATATCAAACATCCTATAAGTGACAGCAACTGGTCATTACCTTACTGCAAAAAGTCCCACATATAACAAAGATGTGCTGATCTAAGAATTGTAAATGGTTTACAAAAAACATACAAAACATAATAGTGGCATGAGATATCAATTTATCAGCACACACCTCTGCTTCGAAAGAAGTCCTTGAATCTCCTTTAATGGCACACAACTCTTGAAATAGTGTAGCCCACTTAACGGCTTTTCTCAGCCTACCAATCAGATAGCTACGCTGACGTGCAGTTGGACCATCTGGAAGCGTTTTCTTTTCCATAGCATGGCTCCATGCTCTTTCCGCAGTATAAAGAATTACATGAAGATACCTACATTGCCCCATAGAACCAACAGCAGACCACAAAAAACCAACAACCAATCAGGTAAACTCAAAAGAAAAGAAAATCAAAACCGCATTCAAAAATTGGTTAAGTAACCCATCTCAAATTCTACGACACTGCCAAAAAAATACTAAAACTTCCTCACCTCACATCGGTGACCATAGGAGCAGTAATAGCTTTCTTATTATATTTGCCACGTCCGTGGGTTAATTTCAAGGACTTGTATAATCTCCTCAGCCGAGCCGTACAGTACCTCCTAAATTACAAATACCCCAATTCATTCACATTTGAGCATCATTCCAGACAACATTCTTCTCACCAGCCAAACTCCAAAAACCGAGAAAAACTAAAAGAAATAATCAGAATATATAACTTTGCACCTGTAACGAGTGTAATCACTATTACGCAATCCGTGTTGCTTTTGAGCCGATTTGAACAGCTCCAAAACTGAAAATTCAACGCCAGTAAACAGAAAAAATATAACTGGTTACCCCGGACAGCAAAAAAATATACACAAATCTAAAAGCCCATATGAGAGTACCGTTGATTGAGAACCTAGGGCTGTTAGTCTCATCACTGGAATTGGGGTTGTGATCGATTTCCATCGCCGACGAGGAGTCATTTTGCTTCGCCATTGAAACGGTAGCAGAATCCGACGGAAGATCTTCGGAAGTTCCGGTCGGCGTCGTAAAAGAATTGAAGAAATTCTGTATATTCTGGGTTCGCGCAGAAAAGATTTGCGCCTAGCTGGAGTCAGCGATGGAAGGACTCGGCTGCCTGAACTCCCACTGAGATGGGCCTGGGCTTTCTGCCCATTATCAAACTTTTTTTCCTTCAAAAAGATTCTTTTCTTTGGACTTCTATTAGCCCTGATTCCAAGAACCGGCAAATTGGCCCAAATGAGCAGCGTACATCATTCTTTTTCTTTCCCTTTTTTTTTTGGTTGGGTTTCTGAATGGAATTAGCTTGTAACTTCATTGTGATCTTCAAATTGAAAAATCTTGTGAATAGCAGTACAGCATTTTTGTAATTTCTCATCACGCGTTTAAATAGGCGTGAAATAGTCATTTTCCATGAGATAAAACCAATCATATTTAAATCACAAAAAAGAGTTCCAATAGTGGGAAAAAAAAAAAAAACTAAATAAAACAGAAAGTGAGAAATTGTGTTCAAACAGATGCAACTAAGCATGATGATATCAGGTGATCAATTTTTACAGTGCGTGACAGGGGACAAGGTTGATTTACCATTGATTGATGATCTATTGACTAAACTATGTACATTGGAGCATTGATTTCTTTTGCAGTATATTTTTCCTCCTCCATCAACCAACCTAGACAAGACACTAAGAAACGATTGCAGTCGCGATTAAAGGATACATTTGCATGGTAAGTTGAACTCCTCGGGCCGCTTATTTCCACGCATTCATCTGAAGATGTTCCGGCAATGTTATTGACGCAAAAGACTCAAAAACTCAGATGGAAGCTACTCCACGCGAAACGGGCCGTTTACCTGCAGCCAGTCAAACAAATAAACATAAATCTAAACTGGTTTTTGAGAAACAATGGACAATGCTGAGTTAACTTACCTTGAAGTGGTGGACAGTTTTTTACCAAATTCGATTGTGAATGTACGAATCTCCATTGGAGCAAGTTGAACCACCAGCCTCATAGGATCAACAGGGCCCCCTCTTGACGGCTTCTTTGTTGCATCACTCGAAGAATCAGCTCTCCAAGCTAATCTTTTCTTTTCCATGTCTTCTCTCTTTTGGTTAGCAGATAAGCCCATCTCTGTGATTTTGTTGATCTGAAATAGAAGTTTCCAAAGAATGATTAATTTTATGACGTAACGGAAAACTTAATGAAGAGAAATGACAAGTTCTAACCTTCTTATTTGGAAACAATTTTTTCAGTTCAACGTTTGCAGGTACTGATAAGTCTTTGTCTTCTCCAACCTAGCAAATGACAAAAATCATCGCCAAACATCAGACAAACAGGGTTTGGTCTTCTATGATATATGTTAACATGGTTATTAATGGACTGGAAGAAGGATATCAAGGACTCTCATGTCGAAGTGGGGAAAGATTTTTGAAACCTCGTATAAATGAGCCAAGCGAAGTAAAACTGTTCCGTCCACAAGTTCCTGCAAATGCAAGAACCAATAGTTCAAAAATTAAGTTCCTTCTAATTGACTCAGTTACTATTCAATTTCCAAACCGTACCTCAAGAGTTATCATCGCCACATTATCAGGAAGACTATACGAAGGATCAATTCCCGTAAAGGTGGGAACTTGAAAATTGTTCCAACTGTCTCCGTCCTATTATACATGGAAGCACTTTAGAGAAACATGTTAATATAGAAACACTCAAATCACTTGATGCCTTTCCCTAACCTGTTCACTGAATGCTAAAAGAAGTGGAGAGTATATTTCCTGTCCAAATGATCGCCGCCACTTAGCTCCCTCCCCAAGTGGATCAAACTTGAAGTAGTACTTGCCTTGAATCTGAGAAGTGCAGGTTGTGATAAGTACTGAGACTAGGTTGGAGAAAATAGTTTGGCTTAAGAAATCATAGAATAATACAAAACATTCAAAAAATGAAGTGAATTTGCATGAATGTATTCAAATAAGGGATTTTGAAAAATGAACTAGAAGAATGTGTTAGCTTTGCTCACTGTTAAGCCTTTGCATCCATCAGGAATACATGTCGTTTCATTTAAAGCCTCAGCTACACCTCTACCATCATCATGAAGAAGTCTCCTACAAGAATTTTTGTCATACATAGAACACGACAAAATCAATCAGTTGATTCCTTAGATGGAGAATCACATTAAAAAAAGAGCAGAAAAATAAAAAGTAATGTCAGACTTAAGGGAGATGAACGAAGCTAATGGAGGCAACCTGTGAAGCATGAGCTCCAGCTGCCCATCCAGTATGCTGGAACCTCCCACAGCTCTATCAACCAAGACTGAGAACTCGGTACTGTCATCTTGCATATAGATTCCATGATTGATCTGAAAGATGAATAAGCATCTTTGTCATCATATCCAAATGACAAATTATAGCCAATATAAAGAGCCTTAAATCTGCCTTCCCTTAATTATCTTCTATTAACTGTAAATTTCTAATTTTAAATATATAATGTTGAGAGATGAGAACAACATGATGCCCTTGCATTGTTTTCGTACTTGTTAGTTAATTACCTGTTCCCAACAATTCCAATGCCAGTTCACTGCATGACTTTAAGAAATACCTTTGAAACCCGTGGTAAAAGGAATGTTTCACCAAACAACTTCTTTTCAAACCTAACCCGTAGAAGTTATGTGCATTAAGATAGTTTTGCAATACATATGCATCATCTGATTCAGATGACATGTAACATTCAAAACTTTCTTGTTTAAACTAAAGAATTAATAGGTTGATGCAAATGTTAGGATGAACATACTGGATAATAGTTTCCTGCAACAGGCTGATTCACTTCAAGTTTCCAATCAGACCTGTAATTCCGTATCTGCAAAATGAGGAACAAAGTGGCCTAGGTCAGATATGTTAAACAAGAAGCATACAAAAAGGTGTTGTCTAAGGAGGATATTATAACATGCTCAGAATCACCCAGGTATTAAACAACAGACCCTTTTGAGGTAATCTCGTCCATTTGAATCTGTATAAAAAGTTTGGTTGCTCTTGATGCTGGTGTCAATTTTTGTTACGATCTCTTTGCCAAGTCTATCATCGATTGGTATGGGGCCAACCTGGATTTTAAGAGTGTAAGAGCTTAAGGTTCCTCAATCTGAGAACGAAATCTCTCCTCGGAAAATACGCTCATTGAAGCCTAAGTAAATTATGAATGACACACTTACAATGAATTCGACCTCAGCATGCTGCTTTTCCTTGTAAACTCTAGTAACCTGTTCCAATCACCATTTACAGAAAGAGCATGACAAACTTAACCATTTCAGAGTTACTGTGCTCGTTTTACAATATTGAGAGGAAACTGCGAAAGACATGTTGCAAAGTTTCCCCATTCTCAACGTTAACTGAAAGAATGATTGTAATTGGACGTGAAGAACTTATAGTTGACATCAACTTATTTATAGCTTATAAATCAGAAGGTGGCAAGATAAAATCAGATCATATACTAGAGCTTTTCTTTTTGAAGGTGACATTCACCAAAATGACACATCTCAGGTAAGTAACATATATGGAAATTTTATATTTTTTGTTAACCAAAAAAAAAAAAGCTCAAATATTAGTTATTTGCAGATTAACCTGATATATCCATGGACTTATGCTCTGATGAGCTTCATCAAACAGCGGCCCCCTTAGAACTGTCAGAGGAATCTGCCAAATAAGCAATGCCATCTGTGTTTATCATTTTCCAGAGACCCAGCATAATCAATTTGTAAGATCCTTTGCATTATTTTTGTACCTTCTCTTGAGATTGGATGGGAAATGTGGAATTGGGGCGGAAAACGTACGCTCCAGAAGCCTATAACATTTTAAGAAATGCTAGTCAATTTCTTAAAAGACATTAGATCGAAGACAGCAATACAGAAGCAAAGAGACAGATTGACAAGAAAACTTCTTCAACAGGAAGGGAGCACAAAAAAATGTGGCTGTAAAGGAGAGATGACTTGTTGAAAACCACCCAAAGGAAAGGGTTGTCTACCTGAAGCTGAGACGGAGGGTCCTTACTACCGTCATCTCCAATATAGTAACTGTAAGATTGATCTACAGAGAACTTGACCTTCATAAGAGAAAGAAACCGAGCAAAAAGAGTTAGGGGTATTGAATACCTTCAGGGTAGAAAAGGGGGAGAAAGATGGAAAATAAATTTAGAGAACGGTAACATAGGGGAGAGTAACGGATTCGAGTAAGTGAATGTTGTCCACTACTATTTAACTTAAAAGTCATTGTTTTGTTCATTCAAACCAGGGTTTCCAACAAATTAGGTATCCCAGCAAGAGATTCAGGAAGGAAATAACATTTCGTACCGTGTTTGTGCCCTTTATATTGCTTTGTATATATTCAGTGAGTTTCCCACTACTTCCAGAATACACAAGCTTCAAATTTCCTGGCCCTACTTCCACAGCATTGTTTTGACTTTCATCATGTCCATAAAATGTTTCTTCCCTTACTGAAGCTACGGCTACACTTGCTATGCATGCCAGACAAAGGAAAAAGAAACGTGACCATGTCAACAAATGCTGGAAATGACTATGTTCCCATTTGAAATGTGAGAATGGATGGGACAATGATCATACAACAAACCTGCTCTTTTGCTACTGGTGACAATATATGTTCTAAAACCAAGAGGAGGAACTTCTGCCTTAAATGCAAGCCAATACAAGGGTCCTCCAGAAGGGGGCTTTCCCACATTTGCAGTTGCATAAAATCTTCGTAATGCCATCGACACATTAACAACAGGAAGAATCTGAGATACTATTTCTTTTCCAGCAGAATCTTGAACAGCAACATCCACGCTAGTAACCTGCATGGAGTTTATGACGATAGCTGAAGCTAAGTATCAAGGAACAGAAAAAATGCAGTGTTATCATTTGCTGTGGTCAACAGGAAAATCTTACATGGAGATGATCAAAACATAAACACCAGACAGATGCTAGCACAGAATACTGACAAAGTTAGCAAATTTTATCTAGATAGAGTCCAACAAGAGAGATAGTCGATTGAGAAAAAATCAAAACTTGGATTCTCTGGACAAGATGCAAGTCTTTCACTGAGATACCTTTCTGGTAAATATTAGACAACGGACTTACTGTAGACTTTCTTATTAATTCTCTGACAAGAGAGTACATCCTTTCAAAAAATAAGATTCTGTAAAGAAGCCTGTAACTATGATGACACTTAATCATCTTTTACACTGTAATGGGCTGGAAATAACTATGTTACTTACCAAGCTTGAGCTTAAGTTATGGGAAGAAATTACCATTCTTCTTCTACAACTCAGTACATTGAGAAATTAAAAAGTCTAATTTATTTTTTATTACATTTTACCTGCTTATCAATTAGAAAGTAGTTATTGTTGAGGTTCTTTTGTTTTTAAACAAAGAGTTTAACATAAATGGAGTGAGAATGGCAGACGCAGAAGAAAAACTATCGATCAGTAGATCTTTCAAAAAACAAGGAGGAAAAAAAAAGAAAGAAAAGAAAATGCATCTTCTGAGTGTAAATGCGAGTTTCGGTTATAGGAATATAGACAGGCATAGATGGGACACTGACGAAAAAAGAAAGATGGTGACCCAAATTTATGAAGTTCCAGGCTGGTAACAAAACTAATGAAATATATGAATACTCACAGGAACTTTGACAATTTCGTCTCTTTTCCACCCTAGAGAGTTATATATAACCACCATCTGCAGACAAAGAACACATCAGTGTTATAGTTGAACCCAATTTCTGTTGCAGCAATAGAGACCATCAAATAATTTAGATTTGTAACAAAGTTAGAAATATTCAAAAAAGCAAAATGGAAAGTTACAAAGGGATACTCAATATTCAGCAGGCTGTAATGCTACTTACTAATCTTTTCCCTGGAGATAAATCAACTTCAGTTGGAGGACAATAACTTATATTCAGGAGTGGGCACTGCCAAGAAAAGAAGCAAAATGTCAGTTAAAAATTTAGAAGTCTAGACTTTATACCCAGAACAAAACATAAAAGAAGTTTTAGTTAATATTATGGTTGGTAAAAACTATAAACATAGCAAACAGAATCTGAGAAGAGAAAATAGCTCAAACTGTAAAGAAATGTGGTATAGGTACAGAAATAAGGTGAGAGGTGGCATTCTACACATCTCCGAATTTTGAAGGGACAAAGGTAAATTTAAATCTCTCAACAAAGTCTGAATTTTTTCCATTTGCCATAATCTCTGGTGGAAGAAAATAATCAAATAGTGCAAGATAGATGAGAAGGTTTATAAAAATGGATATACTTGTAGAAGCTGATAACTAGCTAAAGCATAATGACAAATTTTATGGAAATAGAGCGTATCTAAAATCCTCATATCACAAATTATATTGGAATCAATGGTGATTCTGAAAAGTTAAAGGGCACGGCTACATGGTATAAAATCTCGTACGTGGAATAGCACAGGAATAGAATGGCAAGATAGTTAACAGATTGCTTTCAGGAAACAAAGGTTCAAGGGTTACTATATAAAGTATAAACCAAATGACACAATAAAAAATTTTCTTCTAGTACCTGCTTAAATTTCCTTTCTGAACTTTTATAGCCAGATTTTGATGACGAATCTGCTAGAAAAGCAAGCGATGCTGAAACTACATCTTCAGCCTGAAAGCAATAATGTTAAAGTCACTCCAATGAGTTAGCATTTTTGTTCGAATCCCAGCGAGAAATGACCATCTCAAATTAGAGCATATCGCACCTCCTTGTAGCCTATAGCTAGACGTTTGGCATAATCATTAGCCACATGTTGTTGTGATGTGCCACTGACTGCATCATGATGTTGAGCGATTGCTAGCGCATCAGCCAATGAGTCAGTAGTTGGTCCAGCTTCATTTCTGCCTTTGAAAAACTCCAGCTGCCTAGCTGCCTAAATATGTTCAGGAGTTTGGTCAGGAGAGAGAAGGAAAAAAAAGATGAAATAATGTTGCAAATACTGCCAGATATAAGTTATCAAGTGAACCTCCCATGACCTACCAAATAGTACCCACTCATTTCTCGAACATAGCGTTTGAGAGCAGGTCTACTGGTAAAATATCCAGTCCAATAAGCATTTATGCGGTCAGCATATCTACAGAACACAAGCACCAGTCAAAAAAGATACAAAAAGTTGAACAAAAGTTATGAATGAATAAACTTTTATGATCTTGGACTCACGGAAAATAATCATCAGTTTTAAGAGGCCAGGACTCATTTGAAGCATATTTCGCATCAGTGTAAATTGATGGTGTAGAATACATCGCATTGACACGCCCATCCTATTTTTTCACATTCAACAAAGGATGACAAAAGTAAGGAAAGAAACAGTTGGAAAGATAAAGGAAGTGAGACCTGGTTAACAAAGGAGTAGCTGCATAAACATCAGCTTGCCCACATTTCCAAAACCACGTGAGAGCATATTCAAGAAAATACATATCTGAAGCAGGAAAGGAAATACTAACTTTGTTAACATAATGGATCAGCTTGTCCATGTTCCGAAACCATGTCAGAGCATACTGATACTGGAAATCTGTCCCCATCGTAAACATTATATGATTTGTTCGAGTGATATTAGCCTGTGGAAGAAAATAAAAGGCAATTATACACTCTTGTCGCTACTTCATGAATTGTTCAATTATTCCTGACAGACAGAATGCAATTGCATATTCTAGACCTGTAACCTTCCCTTCAACTCTACAAAGACTCTTAAGTTCATGCTTGAGTCTGTTTACTCTTAAGTAAGTGCACCCATAGATAATATCTTCGAAAACTTGAGTTAAAGTTATTTCAGGTTTTCTTTATAAAAACAAGTAAATTGGTAGAGTTGACAGCTGAAGTTCTTTTCATACAGCCCGGAAACATAGTTCGAAAGCTAACATGTAAAGCAAGAAAGCAACTTGCCTGCCAGTAAGCAGCAGCAACAAAAGCATTGACACGTTCTTCAACATTGTAATCAAATAGAGCGGGATCATCCTGCAGTTCACTCAGTTAGATGTTCTGAAATTAATGAAAATATATATATATATATAAAGAAACACGCATACTTTATGTTGTCCTCTTATAGAATACCTGCACAACGGGAGAAGCAGAATTGACTTCATAGTAAAAACCTCCTTCGGGAGGTTCATAGTTCTTTGGGAATGCACCAGCAAAAATCTGAATGTAGAGAAAGACAAAAGCTTCTCAAACTCTGGGAAATAAAGATGACATCCGCATAACTCTTAAGAACTTCAAAAAAGAAACTAAGTCAACTAACCTGTGCAGTAGAGCCCAAACTTTTAGAACCTTGCCAAACAACCTCAAGAGCCTTCTCAACTTTCCGCTTTTCTCTATCTTGATAGTCAATGCGCCCGAAGAACAGAGAGTCAAATCCAACCTAAATCAGCAAATAGGCATTAGTTATCTAGATGCCATGCTGGCTAACTCTTTCTATTTGTCATTAAACTGGATCTGGGTTCTTGACTTTCTGCAGCCAAAAAACCCAACAAATAGACCACCAAAAGTAGATCAATTTGATAACTGCTACTTTCACTAGTTTGAATTACAACTTTTCAAAGACTGCTGATTGTGCTATTGTTAAAAATCATCAACCTAGTGATTAAAGATGATGAAGGATCAAACAAGTTCATAAATGTAATTATCTACAACACACAAAGTATGGCCAAGATGATACCTCGGCACCAAGAAGATATGCTTGTATTGCAGAATGCCCAAAGGGATCGATTTGCCAGCCAACTCTAGGAGTTACATTAAACTGCTCTTTGATGTATCGGTGACCAAGGGTTGTTTGATCAATCATGTCAATATAATGAGTAGCTGCCTCGTCATGCATACACCAGCCACCATTTCTACATCAAACGAAGAATAAGTGAGCATAGCCCGTAACATTAAACCTTATACCCTTTATTTCAGTTAACCTTTTCCAAGGATATTAAACTTCAAGAGCCGTACATCAAACACAACAGCAACAAGCAAACAAGCAATTTTATGAAACATTCCATTTCTTATATATTGTTAGAATGCCAAGAAAAGATTGGGTGTTGGTTCTTAAGTCCTACATGAACTCGAGTCGACCCTCGTTGACAAGTCCTCTAACTGTTTCTTGCATTGCTGGACTCTGATTTCTCCACCATCGCTGGAAGAAGGCCTGTAAACAATAAGCATAACCTCCTTAATTTTCCACAGCCAGTAGAAAAAGAAAAAATTGTTCGAAAACAACGGTAAAGACATCTTCTGAGCGGATTATCAAATTTCCAAACCTGTTCAACATAGATGAATTTCCTATTCTTATCAGCCAACAGCGTCGGAATCAAAGAATCCAACACATTTTGCACACATGCCCCCTGCACGAGTAAAATCAAAACAAACACCATAATCTCTATTGATATCCTTGACATAATCACTCACAGAACTCTACTCCAAAAAAAAAAAAAAAAAAAGTATGAAAGGGGTTTACCTGAATCGAATTGTTGGAACCGACATAGTACTGATCAACGGTTTTTAACCATCCAACATCATCATGAGTGTGGGGAACTAAATGCACATTGAGCTTTCCAGGCACAATCTTGGACTCAGTATCGTAAACCCTGTACTCCGATTCCGCATTCTGAATCAAACCCACAAGCCCAATCAGCAGCACCAACCACCAAACTTCAAAATTATTCGCCATACTGTGTTCTTCACCAATCACACTTTTACTTCGATGATGAATCCTCCTCTACTACAAAATGATCTGCAACTGCAATGAATATATATATATATAGGCACACCGTCATCAGCTAATCACTCCAAGTAAAAAATTAAGGTTAAAACATGTGCTAATTAACAAGGTAAATTTCGAGTTACCAATAACGTTAACGGATTTGTCAGGTTCCGATGATTGTTTGATAATGATCGATTTTATGGAGGAAGAGTGAAGAAGGGGCTGTGTTGACTTGAGTGTTGGAAAGTAGCGCCGGAAAGCTTATCCAATAAATCCACGTCAGTATTTACAATTTATATTTTCGCGGGAATTTTTACATAGTGAGCGAGTAATCTGACAATTAGGTGGATCATTAAAGATTATCTATTTTATCCTTATTGAGTATTTGACTCTATCGTAATTGCCGTATGAATTTTGTTTATTAATTAAATAGTCATATTTTTAGTCCACTCTCATCTCGTTAACTTCAATGTTGAAGTTTGGGACAAAAAAAAAAAAATTAATACAAGAATCATCATGACATAAAATTAATCAAGAGCATATTGCATATATATTACTCTCTCTGTTTTTCAAAAAATAATCAAGAGCGTACTGCATATATATTATTCTCTCTGTTTTTTTAAAAATAGTGCACGTTGAAATTGAAGATTTGTCTTGAACACAATATAAATATAAAAAAAATTAATGTAAATTATTTTTTTGAACAGAGAGAATAATAATATTATTATCCGTGGACTAGTAAATCATTTCTCTCGATAAGTACTTCTGAGAACTAAGTAAATAAATTTTTTTGGTACTACATCCTTATCCATTTTAGCAATTTCTCCCCCTCCCCTAATTCGCTTTAATATATATATATATATATATATGTATGTATATAGTTAGTATCCAAAGTTATTAATTCGGACTAATTTGCTTTTTCAACCCTAAAGAAAAGATGGTTTACTAGTATACAGTATATACAAAATCTACAAACACTCTGTAATTTTATGTTGGTTTGTATTTACATCAGATGGGAAAGCCGGTCTGTGCTTAGTAGTGAAGTACAAGGGACGTTAGTATCCAACTAAACTATGGGACCAAAATATCATTGTTGTTTGCTGGGAAGACAAAAGTTGCAACCAGTGAAAACGCTTATGCGTTGTGTGACCACATTGCAAGGGTTTTTGGTTTTCTGCTTTGGAGATCGGAGAATAATTATCTTAAAGTAGTAGTATTAATAACTCATTTTGTTCTAAGTATTAATAACTCAAAATAATACGGTAAAAAAATGAATAATCATTCTGAAAAGAAAAGAATAATATTCTGAACTCGGCTGGTGTTGTAATCAAGGCGTAACTCTTTGTGCCCGGGGAACGTGATCCATGAGCAAAAGTGGCGTAATCTGAAGTCATAAACCAAGTAGGGCACGTTTCTCTTGATTATAAAGAAGCCCAGAAGAACTTTTAACATCATCAAGCCTTTTTTATACTCCTTCCGTCCCATAACTATTGTTCAGTTTTAATTTTCATTTTTAGTTAAATTGAATTAAAAGTAAAATCTCAAATTAGATAATAATTTAAAAAAGAAGGAATATATACTTTTTAAACATTGATTAAAGCCTCTTTAACGCACCACCAAAAACTTGAAGCGCATACATAAAACGGTATGAAAGGACAAGGCAAAGGAGGCATTACGTCAGACTTCGACGTTTCAACCGCTATCAATCATTACAATTGATGTTATCTTTCGTTGTAACTTCCTTCATTGCAAATTTTAATTGTAAAAAAAAAAAAGGATTATATCAAAATGTTTTTTCTTTAAAAAAAAATATTAACGGAAGGAGTGTTAATCTGAATCCTGAATATAAAATGTCTGACTACAAATTTGAGAAATATGCTAAATGTGCATTTGATCAGTGCAACCAAACCCCCACAATGGTTTGCGTCAGAGCTTATTTTATAATCATTTCGAAACAAGGCAACAATAATAAAAATGGCCACTGTACGTTGTGATAGTTGAAGTGTTAAAATATTGATATAAAAACGAAAGATATCGCAAATGATATCTCCTGATAAACTTTCATAGATTAGTTCAGTCCTTTAACCTTACATTCTTTGAGGGGCTTTGTGATTATAACAACCCAACTGCATGATAAGAACATAGAAAAAAGAAAAAGAAATATTTCAAACCATTTTTAAAGTTATTATCTCGTTCTCAGGTAAACTGAAATAAAAATAATACATTAAATTTGTTTGGACCATGATAATCATGGATACTAAGAGGGTTAGGAATTGAGTTTAGGGGTTTGAGAAGACATTTTATCATCAAAATATCGATTTTCAATTCTAGTGGAAATAATCAGGTGAAGTATATAGAACAAATAACGTTATGAAAACTAGTTACTCAAATAACATGACGGGCTAACATTTGTGGGCTACATAAGTGGGCGAAGAAACATGGTGTAAGTATGGTTTCAAATTTTGGTGGGGGGTTAGCGGCACATTGGTCAGTACATATACTTTGAGGTAGTTTTGATTTTGTTCACTATATATATTAATTTAAGTCAAGGAAACGTTCATCACAATAATCAAAGGTATGTCGCTTGGGCGATTACATTTTACCCACATAATAATGACATAAATTGGTGAAAAGACTAAAACAAGTTCAACCCATATCAAATTTACTATTAATATCCCTTTAAATCTCAATTAAAATACTACTATTCTTTCTATCTTAAGAAGAAATTCATATTAATTTTTATGATTTGAACTACTTTTTCTAAATTTAATGTGAACGATTTTTTTTAAGAACCTATAGAATAATAAACATTGTATTAGAAAGTATTTTCGGCAGAACGATGATAGTATTTTTTTTTTTCCCCAAACAATAGCATTAACTATTTAACTTAACAATGTCATAAAACTTCTGGGGGTAGAATGTAATTCACTCCCGAAAATGGGGGGTAAACGCACAATATCAAAAAAGGGCCCACAGAAAGGCTGAGTGGCGCCAAATCATATCCAATTGGCAGATTACGTTATCACAAATCTCCACTCACTCTTAACAAAAAAGGTCCAGTCCAAGTATTTATTTCCTGGGCTCCATTTCCGGCCGCCGGTCCGAGCTTCCGACCAGAAAAAATGGCATTTTCCTCGTCTCTATTCTCTCCCATGACTTTCACCCCGAACCCCACCAGAACAATCCGAAAACCTTTCACCGTCGCGGCAATTCCACCGCTCTCCACAGTCACCGACGTCGCCTCAACCATAGATGGGACCACCGCCGCCGTCATCGGAGGAGGATCGGTGGCCGCATTGGCTGCCGTAATCTCACTAACGGACCCAGAACGGCGGAGGAAAATGCAAGCCGAGGAAGTGGGCGGCGGGGATAAGGAAGTGGTGAGGGAGTACTTCAACAACAACGGGTTCCAGAGATGGAAGAAAATATATGGAGATACCGATGATGTGAACAGAGTTCAATTGGACATCCGAATTGGGCATGCCAAAACCGTGGAAAATACCCTGAAGATGTTGTTGGATGAAGGGTCTCTCCAAGGTGTGACCGTTTGCGATGCAGGGTGTGGGACCGGGTCATTGTCGATCCCGTTGGCTAAGGAAGGCGCCATTGTTTATGCTAGTGATATCTCTGCTTCTATGGTTTCTGAAGCTCAGAAGAAGGTCAGTCTCACTGAATAATTATTCAATCAAGTTTCCTAAATTGCTAATTGCTTAGGCGATGGTACATTGGTTTGCAAAAATTAGTGGAAAATTGAGAAATTGATTGCAGAATTGGTAGCTGTTTGATATTTTTGTTGAAAACATTAGGCCTGTTTATTCGGATAAGAACATTTCGAATGCGCAAATAGAAGGGATGCTTGTTTTTCCAGCTCCATTTACAGATATTTATGTCTTTGTTATGCAGGCTCAAGAAGAGCTGCTGAAAGGTGAGAATGGAAGCTCACCAGTTCCGGTTTTGCCGAAATTTGAGGTGAAGGATTTGGAAAGCTTAGATGGAAAGTATGACACAGTAATTTGCTTAGATGTTTTGATACATTACCCGCAAAGTAAAGCGGATGGAATGATTGCTCATCTTGCTTCCTTGGCTGAGAATCGGCTGATCCTGAGTTTTGCACCAAAGACATTGTACTATAGTGCGCTGAAGAGAATTGGAGAATTGTTCCCTGGACCTTCAAAAGCAACCAGGGCATACCTTCATGCTGAGGCTGATGTCGAAAATGCTCTGCGAAAAGTTGGCTGGAAAATAAGGAAGAGAGGTACCATTACAACACAGTTCTACTTCGCAAACCTTATCGAGGCTGTTCCTGTCTAGGCTCAAAATGTGAGGTCTTTGGATGGATTTTTATTCCTTAATGATCCAATGTGAACTTGTTTCATACAGCCTGCAAGCGCCTGTATATTAGAATAGTTAACATACTAATTATCTCTTGTAGTGTCAACGATTGAAAAGGGAAAGTTTTGGTGGTAAGACGCCTTCACCTAGCTAGATCAGTTTAAACATGTGGCTCCCCAGATGAAATTTTATCCCTGTATTATAAATCTCTGCATCTAGGTTTATTTTTGTGATCGGTAGTGTTTATTTTCGACTTCAAACGATACTTTGAAGATCATAGGATTTGGTTATGTGAAATAGTAAGCAGCCATTTTCTCGCAAACCGCAAACCGAAGTAAACTGTATACTACAAAACGATGGAGGCGATCTTCTAGGATGATCTTTTTGCATTTTTGCAAATGCTATACCATTTCTGTCACTTGATAAAAGTATGTTTTAAAACAAGTCCCACAATAATTATGGCTTAAAAATCTGTCCCTTATTTCCAAATATAAAATTTCAGAGTTACTTGATATGTTGGTCTTTGCTAAATCAATACTGACTATTACACTACGAACCACAAAGGCCACGGTTAAGGAAAGTAAAACAGCAGAAATAGCTAATGAATTCTAATAATTGAAAATGGTTCATTTTGTTGTTTAAGGCTTTCAAGCAAGGAAAAAAATATTCATCAAAAAGGATTTGATTGTAAAGACGGGAAAACCGTTATTTTACAGTATTGCGTAAGCATATGGGAAAAGGGGGAACCACAATTTTATCCCAAATTAGTTAAATGCCTCGCAGTGAAGAAAGGACGATGGATCACATCATTAACGATGAGGCTTTTCTAAATTTGGTCATTAATAACTTGTAGCCATGTTTTGGCTGCAGAAAGGCAAACAGTAGAATGCACCTTCCTTTAACCTTCCCTCCCTTTTACTTTCCATCCACAGAGGGACATGATACATCCATATCTAATAATTATGGGTATCAGTGACAGAACTAGAACTTTCAAATTGGAAGATTGAATGGAAAAAGTAATTCTTACTTGTCAAAAAAAAGTAATTCTTACATGTACTAGAAGAAAAATAATAACATAAAAAATAAAGTTCATCGACAAAGTCATCTCAAGTGGTTTATTTGTTCTTTGCACTTGCTAGTGATGGTATAATTACTTTTTTCCTCCTAACTATGTATTACGAAGATGAGAACGAGTGGTAACATGTAATTGTGATCTTCGGGGTCCTATGTCTTGAAACCGCTGCATAATTGCTTCATTATCAACACTTGCAAAAATTTCTTTCTCAATGTAGCGCACCAACAAATCAATAAGAAAATCATCACCCATCTTATTGCGCAAATCAGTCTTAATAAACTTCATTGTGGAGAAAGACCTTTCGACAGTAGCTGTTGCAACAGGCAAAACTAAAGCCAACTCGAGAAGACGATATACTAAAGCATACATAATGTGATATCCCTTTACAACCATCTTCTTTGCAAGTTCTCCGATGTCATGAAGTCCATAAAAAGCTTCATTCTTTATCACATTCTCAATGTACCGGTTCAACTGTGTTCTTAAAAGATTTAAATCAGAACCAACAAAATCTTCAAAATATAACTCCGCAAGACGTACTAACCTTTCACTATTAAATTTGCTAAATGAATCCCTAGGATCAAGGCATGCTATACACATAAGCAACTCTGAGTTTGTCTTTGTAAATCGGTCATTCATTTCATTGAAAAGAAGATCAACAACCTAGCATTATAAGAAATATATATATAATTAATACTTCATAACATGAAAAACAAATGTTACATATTGTTAATTTCAATAATGAAAAATAACATACCTGATAAAAAAACTGCCTGATAACAATGGCGGTCAGTCTGTGGCTCATCATCAACTGTTCTCCTAACTCGGCCTGAAATGATATCTTCCATATTGGGCACACCAATCTCATTTTTTGAACAAAATATGATGACTTCTTTCAATAACTCCTCCCACCCATGATCCCTATACTTCTTCAAATCATACTTCACATCTTCAATCAATTGGACAGCATTGCCTATATTTTGATTCTTTAATTGCAAGGCCTGCGAAAGATTATTTGTCTTTTCAAGTAAACTCATCATCAAATGAGCAATGAACACGAATTCAAAACTTTCCATTTTCCTGGCCAAACTCAAAGCATTGCCTTTAATTTTTCCATCGCCTTCTCTAGACAAAGCAATAAGTACTTCTCTTACCTGAGTCCACAACTGTAAAAGTCTATGAATTGTTTTAAAGTGAGATCCCCAACGAGTGTCACCCTGACGTGCCAAGCTCATTTCTTGATTTTTTCCCTTTCTCGTAGAAATTTCACCCATCTCTATACGTGCAGCGTAATCATCATATTGCTTTTGACGAATAGTATCTTTCCTTTTACATGAAGCTCCAACAATATTCATAATCATACTAAGATAATCAAAAAAGTATTTCACACTAGAATGCTCCGATGAGGTAGTCACGACAACTAACTGTAATTGATGAGCAAAACAATGAATGTACAATGCAGATTTGTATTCATCCAAAAATTTTTGTTTTAGTCCATTAAACTCACCTCGCATGTTGGATGCCCCATCATAGCCTTGTCCTCGTAGTCTAGACATAGTTAATCCATGTTTTGCCAATAAACCTTCAATAGCACTCTTCAAAGATGATGCACAAGTGTCACTAACATGGACTACCCCAAGAAATCATTCAATCAGTTCTCCATCCTCATCCACAAATCTCAAACACATAGCCATTTGTTCCTTTGTAGAACAATGACGAGCCTCATCAATCAAAATAGAAAAGAATTTTCCTCCAATCTCATTCATAATAGTATTTCTCACCTCTGTAGCACATGCATTAACAATATTCTTTTGAATTTTTGGTGAAGTCAATTGGTGATTTCCTGGAACATTTAACTTCATCACCCTATTAACTTCCTCATTATGCTCACAATACCATTTAACAAGTTTAAAAAAATTACCACGATTCAAAGAAGTTACGGAGTCATCATTTCCACGGAAAGACAAACCTTGTTTTAGAAGGAATCGAATCACATCCACTACCGAAGTCAACCGAATGCGATAATCATTCTCATGCTCTTTAGTTGTTTTATGCCACGTATTCACCAAATTATGCCTTTTATCTTCAAATGACTCAAATTGAACTCTAGCATTATTGTGTCTACTATCATTACCCCTTTCATGATCTCGGAATTTTTGAAATGCCTTTTTCTAATTTGTAAAACCATGTTCCGTAAAGACATCATCTCCATTTTTATTACCGGTAGGGAACAAATAATACCACAAACAAAATGCGACATCTTTCGATGCACTATACTCTAACCAACAAAAATTATCAAACCATTTTTCTCGAAATCATCTCAAACATCCACTAATATTTCTTTGCGGAAAAATTTGTCCTCTTGGTTGAGAAGGGCCTTTTGCTAAGTATCTACTCCTTACTTCATCTCGAATGTTAATCGAATAATCATTAATTGATTTACGCAAAGCAGGATCACCAATAATTTCATCTTCACATAACTCAAAATAAGAGAAAAATACAAACCAAAAACACACAATTTATACAATACTGAAAGAGAAAACAATTGTTTTCTTTTTTACTATGGGTCCTATTCTTCCCATGAGGAACGTCCACATCAACAATTCAGAACGTAAGTTCGAAGGGCCTATAGCTATTTCAAGTTCTTGTTGTTTTAAACTATTCCTTTGATATGTGATCTTATTTTGCTTTTAATCCTCCAAATGAGCAGGAGTTACTGCCATCATGACGCATCCGGCTGTCACTAATTGAGTTATCAAACTGCGAGAGTAAGCATACACTGAATTGATAGAAATTCTGATCGGGATGCTTGACAGAAACTTTGAAGCAGTTAGTAAGTACTGATATATCTCGTCCAGATGTCTCAAGCCCCAGTATATTAGTTACAATGTATAAGCCTCGGTAATGTTTATAATCAAAGGCAGAGTGAATCATCCTTGTCTATTCCATTCTTCATTGCAGGTTGTGAATCATCATTGTCGATCTGTTTCCATTCTTCACTTTTGATTCAGTCACACAACAAAAACAAAATACACATATGAGTGTGAAATTTGAGGAATGTTCCACCTCTATATCACAAACAAAAATTTCAAAGATTGAAACATATAAATTTATCTGCTAGTAAGACTAAGAATGCACACGTTGAAAATGTCAAAGAACAAAAAAAAAAATTGCTTATCTTTAAGGCCACAACAGTAACACATTGTTGTATAACAATCAGATATTAAACATTTCTCAAAGAAACGAAAACTACTGCATAAATTTAGGTTGATAATCAGAGTTATCATAACTTGCTGCTTGGATAGGAGTTAAGTTTCAAAGACACAACATTCAACTATGTTTCAAGGAGCAGGGACAATAAGATATTATAAAACTTAAAGTTCCAATAAAAATAAATAAATTTGAATCATGCATGTAATTCAGAAGCTCAATTTTTTGGGACTTTGTCAAGAACCAGAAGAAATCCACAAACCCCCAGCTTAAAATTGTCCCCGACTAACACCACCTGCTATTGGAGCTTTTAACTTTAATAACTCACAAACCAATGCAAAAACAATCAAGAGAAGCAAAACCCACAAATGATTATCCAAAAATTTCATATATGCAACATGTTCAAGTGCCCAAGCTTAGCTCTTTCTATATGGATTATATAGGTGGAATGAAACTTCCAAATCAAGAAGATTAAAGAACTCACTTGGTTACCACCAAGCGTGTGCACTTGACCAGCAATAAATATTTTTTCAATAGCATCTTCTGAGTCAAAGATTAAAAAAAAATTGAATTAAGGAAATACAATGATAATTGTTGCCAAATCGAACATCATAATGTTTATATTATTATATATTATAATCACAAAAACAACAACATGACATGATGGCATTACATGCTCAATTCATGCATAGAATAAAAGAATCTACCTAAGCTACGGGTGTCAAGCTGATCTTTCATAGACAATAGGTTGTATTTGATGGCACAATAACATTTTCTCTTTGTTATTGGCTTCTAAGGAAGTAGTTCACAGAATCTTTATGCATTGGAGAATTCAGAGTTTCCAACATCATTGAAATTTTATAAAAGAGAGAATAAACTGGGAACAAAAGTCAAAATAATACATCAAGACCATAAGCTACAGCTTCTACAGAACAAAAACCTTTTTAGTTCATAATATCAATAGCAAGCTAACCAAATAGCAAGCTTTCAGAACAGTTCCCTAGTTGCACCGGGTCCTTAATTTCAATTACCGTGTACAAATATACTTGAATGCATTCATATCTCCGCTGGTAAAATTATTTGTATTGTCTTATTTTTTCACAGACATTTAAAGAATATGAAAATGAAAATTGGTAATTTAATTTGAACTAAACCTTCACCTCAGTTTGCAGCAAAAGAAGCCCGTGCTTTTTTCACATAGGCGTCCTTCCAATGTGAACTGCTTGCATACTAATCTTCCAATGTGATTTGTATACAAATCAGGGTCGGAAGACAAATTTGCGTATTAGGGTAATGCATAATACAGAGTTTTGCTTGATTCTGACCAAAGAGGAATTTACTCCATAGCGGCAGGCGAGCCGGCTTCCATCTGGATCTGATCAGGATCTCACGAATTCGTAATCGGCAAAGAGCAATAGAGACCTTTTCAAATACCTACCCGCCGGCTGTATCAACAATTAAGAAAAAACAAAATGAATCTTCACCCATTCGATAACATGAACATACAATTAAACATGTAATCCTCTATGTTTGAAATTGAAAAGAAAAAAGTCAGAACCTTCAGAACACTAATTCATCCAAAAAGGGTACTCTGCTCTTGGGTTCCGCACCGACGCTGCTTCTCTGTTGGTTGTTCATCAATCAAACATTTCCTCTTCAATTATTCATCATCGGCCACTAAAGTACTATAACAATTAATAATATCAGTCATCTAATTTTAGAGGAACCCGTTTGAGAAAAAAAATTTAGATGCTTACAGCTTACCCGTTAAAGTTTAAGTAATGGATAAAAAGACTGTGGGAATTGTTGGTGGCTGAGGAATCGTTATCGGATCTGGAGAGGAAACATAAGGGAATACAATAGAAAGACACAACCTTCCACTTGAGATCTTTGAGACTGTGACTAAGGAGAGCTTTTGCATGGGTTTTGTACGCTTTCTCTTATCTTCTCACTTGATCTCATCAATCGGCTGGGAGGGTGGATGGAATCTTGTTGCCCTCTTTGTCTTCTCTTCCTATGGGGTGTCGCCGTTAGAATTCCGAGGCTGTGCAATTGTCGTTCGGTTCTCCGTATTAGAAATTGAAACATAGAATTTGTGATTAAGTAAAGAGGATAATTGATTATGTGAAAAGAAGTATTGGATGATGACTTATTTTTGTAATTTGAATATATTGCAGAGCAGATTTATGGGAGTAAAATACTACTAGGGCGCGATTTTCTGGAATCTAGTAAAATTAGGGAGCAAAACATAAGGGATTAGTTTTTTTCAGAGGGAGAACTCTGATCATTTTGGAGTTGGAGAAGCATGCCACATGTAAGATTTTTTTGTGAATAATTTTTGGTTTTTGAAGAAAAAACATGGACTGTGGAGCTGCCAAGTGTTCTCGAATGTTTCTGTTTTAAGTAAGTAAAGAGAATAATCAAACTGAATAACATGCACGCCACAAATTAATTCTTATAATCAACCAAATTTAATAATTAACCATATTAAAATCCTACTTAAAACTCTTACTTTGACCAAATAAAAAAATATCTTAAATTATTCAATTTTATTTTATTGTTCGACTTCTTCATCTCTTCTACTTCATTTCTCTCAAACCTCCATTGATAATTGGCGCACCCTGGCAACGGTTCGGGTTTAGAATCTTGTTCTGCACAAAATAGTTTGAACCATGACTCTGGTTAATGTAGGATTTAGTTGAGCAAGCCATTCTTTAAAAATCTAGTTGGAAAGAAAGTACACAGTAGCATTTGCATGCATTAGCACTCAAACTAATCAAAGTACGTTGCATTTGCATAAAACTCAGAGTAACCAAATAAGGTTGCATTCACATAAGACAATAGTCTTGGCATGGCTCTAATTGCGGGCTGATTCACAATTTGAAAAGAATGACATTAAATATGTATTACTCCCTCCGGTCCTTATTTTAATTTCGTCCTAAGTTTTATCTAAGATATATTTTTAGTTGGAATAAAAACCTTAAAAATATTTCATAATAATTAGGAGAATACAATGAATGTGAAAATATATTTTTAAGATTTTTTTTTCAATTAAAAAAAATTCTAGGTTAAATTTAGGACGAAATCAAAATACCTTATAATAAGGACTGGAGGAAGTATTTCTTATCAAAAACATTTATCAAAACAAGTATTACTATATAAGTTTTCTAGGGTGAGAAGGTTGGTGTGGTGATTAGGAAATTAAGAAGAACGACGGCTATTACTAGGAGGTCGATGATTCGACATCTATTTTTTTTTTACTATATAAGTTTTCTCATAACAAATCATTGTTACGCCATGAATAGGAATTTTAAAAATTTCTCAAAGTACCTCTATGATTCACCAAATTACCTCTATAATTTGAAAAAATAGCTCTATAATTTAGCAAAGTACTATCTAGAATTTAGCAAAGTACTTCTATAGTTTTGCAAAATACTTCTTTAATTTAACAAAATACTGTTATAGTTTTGCAAAGTGCCTCTTTAATTTAACATTGTACTTCTATAGTTTCACAAAATACCTCTAAAATTTGACAAAGTACCTTTATAAGTTAACAATTAAATCTATGATTTCACAAAATACCTCTATAATTTAACAAAAGATATCTATAGTTTCGCAAAGTACCTCTATAATTTCGTTAAGTATCTCTATAATTTAACAAAGTACCTCTATAATTTAACAAAGTATATCTATAATTTCGTAAAATATCTCTATAGTTTAACAAAACATCTCTATAAATTAACAAAACACCTTTATAATTTCGTAAATTACCTCCATAATTTCTCAAAGTACTAATTTAATAAAGTACCTCTATAATTTGATAAAGTAGCTCAATAATTTAAGCAAAGTACCTCTATAGTTTCGCAAAGTAACTATTTAATTTAACAAAGTAACACTATAATTTCGCAAAATACATCTATAATTCAACAAAGGACCTCTATAGTTTCGCAAAGTGCATCTATGTTTTCGCAAAGTATCTCTATAATTAAAAAAGTATCTTTATAATTTCGCAAAGTATCTCTATAATTTAACAAAACATATCTATAATTTAACAAAGTACCTTTATACTTACGAAAAGTATCTCTATATATTCGCAAAATACCTCTATAATTTGACAAAGTACCTCTATATTTTCGCGAATTACCTCTATAATTTCGCAAAGTACCTCTATAATTTAATGACGTACCTCTATAAATTAGCAAAATACCTCAATAATTTAACAAACTATTTGCTCTTTATTTCTTGCTTTGATGCTTTTAGCTTTAATTTTCCCCTTCTCCCTTGCCTCAATGTTCAACACTTTAGTTGCCTAGGATAAGTTTTTTTTTTTTTTTTCTGAAATAAAATTTTTGGGTTAATTTTTTTCCCAAAGATTTCAGGTCAATAATATATACAATTTAGAATTTTGAGGTTTTTTTTTTTAATTTTATCCGGAGATTTAAAAAACATCATATTAATTATAGACTTTCATCCATTATTGGCCCAATTCTTTTTTTTTTTTTTTAATTTTGGTTTCTAACCGAGGAACAAGGTCTCTAAGTTATTATTTTTATTTTTTACAAGTGTATCTTTTATTGTTTTCATCATTAACAAAGGGTATAATTGTTTTTCATTAAATAAATGGTACAATTGTCACCAACAAAATGCTTAATGAATAAAGTATTATTATGCACTTGAGGGAAATTTTAAAAATTTTACCCCCTCTTTAAGAAATTTAAAACTTATTATAGCGTCCTTAATTAATAAGAATTTTATTTTCCCAAATAAAAATATGGTCCTCGGTTGTCCCCAAATTTCTCAATAAAAAATATTCGGGCCAACCCAAACCCGACAAGTTCCAACTGAACTTATTACAAAACGTGGCGTTCATTTCTTGTTTCCCGCTCGTTTTGTGGCTGTATCCCAAAAGCGCGAGTGGGGAAAGGAAAAAACGATCCCGTATTAACCAAATTGGCACCACGGTGCGAAAAGAGAAGAAAAACAGAAAAAGAAGAAGGAACCCTAGAAAATCAAATTCGTAAAATTGGCGGAAATGGAGAGAATTGCCGGGCCAATCGATGTCGATGTGGAAATAGAAGAGGACGAATCAGCTAACGAAATCTTGAGAGATCGATTTCGACTCTGTACCATCTCGATTGCTGAAGCCGAAGGTGTGTTCTTTTTTTTTTTTTTTTGTCCTAAATTTTGCAATTCGTCTTCTTAAATGGCCATTCCTAGTTCAATTTTGCATCGATTAGTTTTCATTTGTGTAAGTTTTGGAATTTTTTGTGCAGCGAAAAAGAACGGGATGGAAATTTCGCCTCCAATTATGGCCTGTATTTCCGATTTGGCGTTCAGATACGCAGGTAACATTCTCGTGAATTTCGATAGGGTTAGTGTTTGGGAAATGAACAGTTTCATTGATTGTTTTTCTGTTATGCGTGTTTCATGCTTAAGTTCCATTCTTTTTGTTTGGTTTGCTAGTTAGCCCCTTGGGGATGGGGTGGTTTTTTTTTTTTTGGGCGGGGGGGGGGGTTGGTTGTTTAGTTTGGTTGATGATTTCCCCTTTTGATCAGTAAATTTTCTGTTCGGTATTCTTTTTGGTTAGTTACAGAATGGAGTATAAAATTACAAGAGCTGAAGTTTTGCATATGGAATTTGGTTATGCAAAATGCTTTGCTGTAGCTTTCTCAGTTTCTCTTCTAATTTCTGATAAATGATAGACTGCCAAATAGTTCTTTTAACATCTCGATAACATTTTCGATAAGATGGAGGTCCTTGTAAGAGTTGCCTGACACTTTTGTGCTTATCATGTCACAGAGTCTGCCATGCTTATTTTTCCATTTAGGAGAATGTCTTTAATGTAACAAGTAGAATTGTCCAGTTTAAAATCATCTCGTGGTCAAAATGGAAGGATAAACTAATCCAAATTTCCAGCTTGAAGATCACTGCCCTTGCTGTTAAGTTTCTAAAAGTTGTTAACGAAAGAATGTTTTTGAGATGCAGGACAATTGGCAAAGGACCTCGAGTTATTTTCACAACATGCTGGTCGTAAGTCAGTAAACATGGAAGATGTCATACTTTGTGGTGAGTTCCTGCATTATTTTGTTTTTTTCTGATTAGAGGTGTCCATGCATTAAACTTTGTTCTTGTGAATTAGACTTTCCATATTTCATGTATACTGTTGATTGAAAATCCTTAATCACATGAATAATAAGAAAGAGACTCCCAGTGATAAGTTTTGGTACTGTATTTATGCTGTTTTTCCAAGGTTCCCAACTCAGTTCCTTTTTCTGTGATGCCCCTCTTATTGCCTCTCATTTCTGCGGAACATGACAATTATGCATTTACTGTATCAGCTCACCGGAATAGTGACCTCGTAACGTCATTGAGGTCCTTCTGCAATGATTTAAAATCAAAAGAACCTCCAGCTGAAAGGAAGAGGAGGAAAAGGGCCACCAAGGAAACTGATACTCTTTATGTTCCTGACGAATAAAACGTTTTCCAACTGAAGCGTGTAAAGGTGTAAATGCGTAAAGGCGTGATTCACATAGTACTAAATGGTTTTTCGCATTCCTCATGATTTTTGATGGCATGAACCTCTGGAAACGGGACATGATCAGTTTAATCCTGGAAGTGTTCTGCCTCTTCTGAGAATAGATAGATAATATTGGCATTCTGGATCTTTCAGTGCGCACCAGAACTCAACCTCTCAAACAATCATTCCATGGGATGGGACATAGAAAGATGTTTGATGTTGTTCTGCTATACGAAGTTCTTTTCTTAAAACTTAGTTGGTACCTAGTTAGATGCAATTAGTGTAACCATCTTTTGGACACTTGCCCATTTCGCGTAGCCATTCTAGTCCGAGGAATGAATGGGAGTTTAGTGATGAACTGATGATGTATCTAGCCGTTTGTGTAACATTGAAGGCGCACTTAATATGCCAAATTTTTTGTTGTGTACAGAGATTCGAATGTTCGAGCTTCCATTATCGGACAAATTCTGAACCATCTGCTTCTAAAATTTGAATAATCTTTACTCTTGAGTCTTTATCATTCTTGAGTCATTTTTAAGTAAAAAAAAAAATTGACATTCAAACGTTAGTTAATTGTGCTAAATGCCTCATGCTTTCAGCAGGTTTGAAATTTGTATGAGCTCCCAAAATGTAATCACATTACAAGATTGTTAAAACTATGAAGTTCATGCTAACAAACAATGATCACCTCATCCATTCGTAGAACACTTAGTAAAAAAAAAAACACTTGACTGTAAACCAAAAGAAGATTAAAAAAAAAATAAAATTCAAAAATACTGTAATTGAAAGCAAACCGCTTCACTCAAAGCTATTCGTCTATTGGGCCAACAATGAGACCCTGACAAATGTTTTTACAACTGTTGGAAAGAATTTACAGTTACAGTCAATTAATTAACTGAGTGTAAAAAAAAAAAAAAAAGAAGTTAAATCCGACATAATGCGGAAAAACAACACTAAACACAAAAACTCCCTGAAAAGCATAAAAATCCGGGGGAAGAGAAGAGAAGACAACTGAAAAACAAAAAGTCAAGCAGGGGAAGGAAGAGAATTGAAAAGCATGAGCGGCTCCACTCCGGTTCTTAAAAAGCCAAAACTCGAAGTCACAGAAGAAGAAGATGGAGAAACCAGAAATGGGAATTGCAGGGAGGAGGATGGCAACGACGAGGAACGGACGACGAGGCAAGAGCAAGAAGAAGCGCTCGTCGCTCTCATCGAACATCGCGCCAAAGAAGTCGAACATCTCCGCAATCGCATCACCTATTACCAATCCCAGGTTTCTACTTTCTTTTTTCTATTTCTTTTTTCAAAATTTCCTATGATACTCTATTGCATTCAGGAGAAAAAAATATGTTGATTTTTGAAAAAAGTTTATTTATTTATTTTTCTTGCTCCGTTGAACTTAGGATGAGAAAGTAGTTAGTTGTTATCTTCTTAGAGTAATTGTTGCAGTATGAAATGTTTTATGTCCCGAGGTTTTTCCATTTCATACGTGAATTCTTTGATATACATTAGGAATACGCTTTACTCTGCTAAATTTTGCTCTTTCAAGTTACAACTGGTTAGAATACTGCAGAAGTTATATGTCTGTTTCAAGATTCCAATTTTTATTCCGATGACGGAAATCGAATAGTAGAATATAATTGCAGAGGGACCTTTAAATTTCATATTGGTTGAAACTTTTTGGCTTTGATGAAGGAAACTATATTGCCACAGGTTGTTATGTTCCTGTATGTGGTATGTAATTAATGAGACACTAAGTGTAGGAAAGCAGTGTCCAAATAGCTTTTGTATTGTGGCATGCCAACCATGTTTTGCCCTTAATTTTGTTTCAAAATTGCAGCTTGAGCAAGCGGAGAAGAGGTTAGGTGATTCGAAAATTCAGCTGGCTAGAATTAGGGGTTGGGGTGGTACCTCGGCGTCCAAAACTAGTGTTGGAAATGGTATGGTAGTGGCAAAAATGGAAGAAAGATCCAAAAGTCCTGTCAAGAGTAGTGAAGTACCTCTGCAAAGCCTTTCACAGAGTAAGCCACAGTCTGGTCTAGAAGGTATTAAGACTGCACGAAATGGTGAGGGACCTCAGCGTGAATCAACGAGTCCTTCCCAGCACCTTCAACAATCTTCAAAAATCCAATCTCAGTCTAGACCCCCACTTTTAATCCCCGCGGCTAACACTCAAGTATCTCATCCTATAAAGAAGAGAGAATCTGGATCTAAAGCTTCAAATAGTATTGGTTCACAGCCCAATACAGTGAGCGAAGCTAATGCGAACAGACCAAAAGGGGATAGACCTTCCAGGACATCCCCTCAACCGGATGTTGCTGAGAGTCAAGCTAATGCGAACAGATCAAAAGGGGATAGATCTTCCAGGGCATCCCCTCAACCGGATGTCGCTGAGAGCCAACCTAAGCAGACAAAAAGGAAGTTAGGTAAAGTTATGGACATTTAATGTTTTTACTGCCTAGTTAATTATTTTGTTGTAATTTCCAAATGAGTTACATGACATGTGTAGTAATTTGTAGTTTGCATTTGGAGAATTCTTTTACAGAAGACGCATAACTGATTATTGTTTTTGTATATTTAAATACAGAGCTGAAAGAACATAAACCGCTGATTCCGGTTGTACGAAAAAATGACTCACCAAGACTGATTCGTTGCCAGACTGGCTCGCTGATGTCTAGTCAGCACAAAAGGAAGTTGAGAAGTCTTATTTTGTGCCCTACAAATGATCAACTGTTTTCAACCAGGTACGTTTCCCTAGCTCCATTTTAGGTAAGAAGGAGATAAATGTAGATATAAACAAATTGACTCTTTCCTCTATGTTATACAAAAATTCAAGAGAAAAGAGACTGGGGCCTGGGGGTAACCCCCTGTTCATAGTGGTTTTGACTTGTACACTGGAGATGTTTAGGCGCATAGTAATTAATGTAAAATCATTAGGTTAAAAAAAAAAAAGGTGAGGAGCTAAAGAACTTTGTTGATGGTGAGAAATTATCCAACATAGCAATCGCATGTTATGGGATATAATTGTTCTTGTGGGAGTTATATCTTCTTAATGATTCCATTATTTCATGCTTGACTGAATAATTTATGCTTTTGGAATTGTTGAGATGCATGGTGAACCTTCTCTCCTTTGCAAGATGTTACTTCAAGCACCCATTTTAAGCCCTGGCTAAAAGGAAAAGTAAAATGTGGAAACTCATGTCTGAAAAATTGATTCATCAGCATATTCTGGTAATATGCGTCTTTTCCTGCTAAATGTTCCTGCTTCTTTGAATAAGATCTTTTTGCTATCTGTATGTTGGGGAAGTTCTGAGTGCATTTATTTAGAGTGCTGATTGTTCCGTTCCTATGGCCACAGCATGTTCTGTATTTTGTTTTGCTTGTGCCTATTTTCGATACTTTAATGTCTTTATTTTTGCCTTCATGTTTTGCAGCTCATTGGATGGGGTAGTTAACTTGTGGCAGATCCAAGGCAGAGGGTAAGTGGCTAGTTCTGATTCAACTCTTGCTTCTTCAAGATTTTATTTTAAAGTTTCAGGACTTTTCTGTCATGAAAATGTTTGCATGGAGTAGTTTTGCTCTTCTGTAGGTGTAATCAGTTTCCTACACGTTTTTGTTCTGTAGTCAAAACCTTACTGGTTTTCTTGATTTGGAAAATTGCAGATCAAGTGCCAACCTCTTAAGTTCAACTGATTGTTATGCTAAGAGGAGATGGCCTGAAGATATGGCTTGGCATCCTCAGGGAGACCGCATATTTTCAGTTTACAGTGCTGATGCTGGGGATACTCAGATATCCGTACTGAATTTGAACAAAACTAAAGAGGTGATACATGGTTTTTATGCTGTTTCTTGGATTTTTATTATTACTTTTTTTTTTTCCTGTAAACTGCTTTATTTGTTTCTTATGATCTTCTTTATAAAAGCGAGACCCATTTTCTCAAGCTTGACTTCAGATGCTCCCAAATGTTTTTCTATGACATTTCCATGTGTGCAATTGGAATGGGTATGAGCTACAGAACTAAAGTTAACTGTCTTTTTTTGTTTTCATTGAGTGCTGCTGCTGGATTCAGTGAATATGCATTGACGTTACTGATTAAATTTTTTTTATCAGTGTAGAGCCATATCATTATATGTGAGAAAATTCACTTGAAATGCTCAGTACTATATTGTTTGATATAAATCCTTGGTTGTAGATTAGGGCTTAATTGTGAAGTTGAAATGAACTGCTTTGTTAAAAAGCTACGGAGTAGAGATCCTTTCGTGGCACATGGAAAACATGTGAATCACTCTTCTGTGATCCAAATTTTTGTGCCCTGAATAGTTTCACATGGACGTCAATTTTACTGCCTACTCACAAAAGCTTCACTCCCCCCCCCCCCAAGGCCCAAACCCCCACCTTTACCTCCTCAACTGCTCCTAGCCCTGCAAAGAGAAGTTATTTGTGGACGCATATTATTTCATTTTACTGATAATGCTATCTGCCTTTGAACTGATATTGGGTTTGTATATTTTCACCCCGCACTGTTTTCAATGCATATAAGATGCCATACTCATTTTGGTCATATAGGATGCCATACTCATTTTGGTTCTTGAGATTTGGGATATCTGGAGAGTGGTTTTGTCTTGTCTATTGAATTGTGCTGTTTTTTATCATAAAATATGCATCAGGCTCTTAATGCAGATCTTTAGGAGTAATGGATCCCGGCCATTGTGCTTTCGCTGGAACTATGTTTAGGAAATGATAGTTATTTTGATTGTGTCCCACCAACTGCTAGTTTGTTTTGGTCATGGTCCTACTTCAGAATCTATGCAGCTACCTCTTCCTTGCACCCTGTCATGCCTTAGCTTAGTTCTAATCTGCTTCTTATGAATTGTAGAATTTTAGAAATGGAATTTAAAGAAGTGATATGTGAGATACATTGCTATCCTTGGTACTTCTTTCAGAGACTACTTTACACAAAGTAGAGATTCCGTGTGAAGCCATTAACAGATTATCAGGAATACCCGTTATCTGTGGGGTACGTATAATTATTGTGTGTTTTTTCGCATGAACTGGTTTCTCATTTTTGTCCTTGACTTGTTAACAGAGAGAGCGTGTGATTTTCTTAGAAGAGAAGCCACATGTTAAAGGCATCATCAACAGCATAGAGTTTATGCCATGGGAAGATACCTGTTTCGTCACCGGGGGCAGTGATCATGCTGTCATCCTCTGGACAGAGAATGATGGGGAAATTTCATGGAAATGCAAATCTTTGCATAGAAGTTATCATTCCTCTGCCGTAATGGGCGTTGCTGGGATTCAGCATAAGAACATTGTTATCTCTGTTGGTGCTGACAAAAGAATTTATGGCTTTGATATAGAAGCTATGAGGTCAGATTACAAGCATCAAATTGATAGCAAATGTATGAGTGTTCTGCCAAATCCATGCGACTTCAACCTTTTCATGGTTCAGTCTGGGTATGTATTCACGATCCCTTTTACTGCATCTGTTATTCTCATGTAACACTTTTTCACCATTACCTTAAATTTAATCTACAACCTCCGGTCAGTATTGTTGTCATTCCTGTGCTGAAATCATTGATTGATTGCCTATGAATAGTTCTTCATATATATACTGTTGCAGCTTTTAACAATTTTAAAGATACATATTTGTTGCTTTGCGGCTTCTAGATTCTTAGAATGAATTTTGTTTTTATTAACGTTGGAGGTTGGTTATACTAAGAGTTTTTTGTACTAGTGTTGATGTACGATGTATCAGAAAAGGTGATTATGTGGAATTAAAATTCTTTAGTTGAAGGTTCCAGACTTCCAGTTACTTTCATATGTGATTGACCAAGTGTACTCATCATTGACCATTTGAAGTTCAGAATCTAGTTGAATGTTTTATTTGAATCACTCTAGTTGTTGTCACTATATTACGCATAGCTGATTTCATTACACACCATGGCACCTGATGTCCTTTACGACAAGGCTCTTACATTGTAAATGATCATGACCATTCTCTTCTGCCATAATCCCATGGGTAATTTGAAGTGTCATTTTCTTAACTTATTTTCCTGCTTGTATTAGATCAATAAAATAGGACATCTACAAATATTTCCAATGTGTAAAGATCTACGACTCTTTCGTGGATTTCTGTTGCACCTTTTTTGAGAAGGATGATTGTTTACAGTCACTCAATACTTGTGAATCTTGTATATTTCCTTCATAATTCATTTTTTAGATTAAGAGTCTTTATTGGTTGATGCATTTCCATGTCGTTAGAGTTGGATTTTATGTTGTAACGACAATGTGTCTTTCTTTCAGGAGCCATGGTAGACAGCTTCGTTTGTTTGATATTAGATCGAGGCAAACAGAGATCCATGCATTTGGGTGGAAGCAAGAAAGTAGTGATTCTCAATCAGCTCTAATAAATCAGGCGTGGTCCCCTGACGGGTTGTACATTACTTCTGGATCAGCAGACCCAGTTATCCATATATTTGATATCCGGTACAGGGGGCACGACCCCTCCCAGTCCATCAAAGCTCATCAGAAGAGAGTTTTCAAAGCTGTTTGGCATAATTCTCTACCCCTCATGATATCTATATCTTCAGACCTCAACATTGGACTGCATAAGATTCTTTAAATGTTTCTTTTGGGTAATCATCTTAAGGTCGAGCATTGGCGCGATTATTAGGTCTCTTCTGTGACTTCCTGTTTACAAATCAAATCCGAAAACATAACTCTTCAGAATTAGCTATAGGATGAAGCAGTGTAGAGCCATCTCCCAACCCCCATACACTTTTGGCGGGGTTAGGTGGCTAGTGTTCTTCAATAGAAAGATATTTTGTGTACACGGGTGACGGGTCTAGTTCTTTTATAGAATGTCAAGTACTCATTTCCTTTCCCCTCTAAAGAAAATTAGGAGTGGATGTAATTGACTTGTGGATTTTGGTCTCTTTCGATTTGGGGAAGGAAGAATGCCCATCATGATCATTTTGACATTGTAAATGCCAAAATCCAACTGGATTTTTGAATCAAATTTTTCAATGAAAAATGGTAAAACAGAAAGGACATTCATATTCATATAGTTCCTACTTGGCTGTTGAGTTCCACCGGCAAATGAGACAATTGGAGATGGGCTTTTTGCAAGTAATAATGCCAAGGAGAAAACCATTTATTCATTCTGTTTCCGTTCCAAAACGATTTTTTTTTTTTGTTTAAATTTTACTTTGATGCAATTTGTTTAAAAAATAAAATTTTAAATATGACAATCATTTCGATTGGAAATAATACAAAATATTAGCGTAATATAACTACCAACTAGAGAAACAAGTAACAACTGGAGAACCTTTACTACTCTTTTCGTCCTTTCATAATATCAAAATTAAATCATTTCGTCGCTAAAAAAAAAAAAATCGAATAATTCAACAAAATGAAGAATTTTTCTGGGTTACTAATTAATTATTGCCACTATTGTCATTCCTTTTCGTAATGGATGAGATTTATCTCTCTCTCTCTCTATATATATATTAGTGATGTCTGGTCGCGTAATGCGCGACTCTGGCCCAATATATTTGTAGATCTTAGAAATGTTTGTATCTGAAAAAAAAATATTTTGTATTTGGTCCGATATATTTTAGAAATATTTGAAGAATTTTAAAAATGCTTTATAAGTGTGATGTTTGTATTTGGCATAAAAATAAATTGTATACGGCCCGGTACGTTTTAGAAATGTTTGAAGATTTTAGAAATGTTTTATAAGTGTTACTTCTTAAATATAAATAAACTTGATCAAATATATGTCTTGAAGTAAATGTTAGACAAAATATAAAAGTATCCTAATAAGTTTAAATATTAGTAAGATAATTTATTGATGTTCTCCATTGGTTGTGCCAAATCAATACTTAGTTTTGGAGATTTATAATAGCTTTGTAGTTAGCTTCCTCCAAAAGATATACGCTTAATTATTGGAACTATTTCTTCCAAAAGTTTATAGGTAGTAAAATATCAAAAATATGATTTTGAAACTGGTTAATGATTGAAACTGGTTAATTGTTGAAACTGGTTGATCACAAATATGAGAATGAAAATAATGTAAATTTGCATAGGCTTCAAGATATAGCAAAAAAGAACTCACCTCACCATGACAAATAAAAAAAAAAGTAAAAGATAGCCCATTATAATTTGAGAATTTTTATTTTTTTTCTGTAGGTAAAAATGATGTATAAAAACACAAATAAACGTAGAACCATCATTCCTTCCCTTTCCACCTCAAATTCATAAAAGGCTTCCCCATAAATTAGTTAAAAGAAGCGACCTGAACTATTTATATGATGAGAAACTAAAAAAAGTCCAAAAACCAAATCCAAAAAAGTATATTCTTGAAACCCCGAACACAAAAAAAAACGTGCTTCATTTGCAATAATAATAATAATAATAATAATAATAATAATAATAATAATAATAATAATAATAATAATTGGTCAATTGGGAGTATGAAACAAAATCAAAAGTAATTAAACAAAGAAAAAACACACTTCATAACTGGCTATATATGAAAAAAAACCTGAGACTCCATAATTAAAAAAAGAAAACCACTCTAATTGAATAAAACATAAAAAAAAAAATTTAAAAAAACTACACTTTGTAAAAAAAACCCAATCAATCAATTCAATCCAAACATAACTAAAATCATACAAAAATTCTAGGCTAACTAACCAAATAAAAAATCACATCATACTACCTGACAACGGCTACGGTAGCTGTAACGGATGGACGCATAAAAATAATAGTAATAATACTATTCTTGAACGGGAAAAATAAAAAATAATAAAAGCCAAACCAATGATCTGTAGGAATAAAATTATTTAAATTTTAATACCTGTAATGGCACCACCACAACGGCCGAAGCAAGATCAATGAGAATTTTTTTTTTCCTTTGTGTTTATATAGGGAGGTAAAGAGAATATTTTTTGAAGTTGAAATTTTATCCGATTAGGATGTAGTTGATCATCACTAATGAAAAGATTGAACATGCTAATAGGAAAGGAGTATATTTCACCACATATTCTCTATTGATGATTGATGAGGAATTTATTTATTTTTAATTGTGGAGAAGGGATTGATTAAGGAGTCGATTGTCGTGGAAATGGGGATGAGAATTTGGGTTTTATATGAACCCGTGGTTTTTTTCTTTTTTTGTTTTGACGAAAATAGGAGGTGGAAATGAATTTGAACTGTATTTCCCTTTTAAGTTTAGGAGATGTGGAAATAAAAATTTATTTTAAAAATATGATGTGGAAATGCCACATAGCAAATGGTAATACTTTCTCTTAAGTGTAGTTTTTGTTTCTAATATAGTAAGATATAAACAAATTTTACCTACTTTAATTGATTCATATATGGTCTTCCATTTTTAATTTTTATTATTTGTGTAAATTTCTCATCAACAGGGCAGGAGACTAGTAGTAGGTACTAGTTCTATTCCTTTTGTAGTTAATAGAAACAAACACTACTATAAGTTTACAATGGATATAGTTTCTCACTAAAATTTATTATTTGTTATGAAATATTTGATTTGATTTGATTGAATGTCCATAATTAATATGTATTATTCTATTCATAATCAATGAGATATGACTCTGTAATATTTAGTATTAATGATAGGTGATTCATTTCCCGCAGTTTGATCCCCTACTTCTTGTATAAATATGGAGATCATTCATACTTCAAAATACATCTAAATACAAGTCTTTTATCTCTCTCTGCTCTCTTGTCTCTCCTCTTTATTCTTTTGCTTAGTTTCATAGTAGTTTAGCATTGATTTTATAACACGTTATCAGCACGAGACTCTAGCCAAAGAGTCTACCACCGCCTGAAATTGGTGTATATTGATTCTGAAGGCCTGAAACCTCAATAAATATTTTAATCCTACCACCTCTTGAAGTTGGTACGTATTGATTCTAATGGCATGAAACCTCAGTGAATATTTTAAAATGCTTTTGTAACCTGAAGCGCCTGAAGCGCCGTGACCTCAAGTCACTTCAAAATCTCGGTTTAGGATTGTCAATTCAAAATTGAGAAAGCGAATTCGGCACGTTGGAATCATACTATTTGATTTTCTATTGAGATGTCAGAGTGACATGTGATTTTATTAGTCAACGAGTTCTTGGACAAAACCCATCCACGATTTTTCATTATTTTGATTTTGTTTTGATTTCTAATTTCATAACTACCTATTTTGTTATGATCTAATCTCATTAATATCAATGCCTTATTCGATAATTTTGTTATGATGCATATTATTTATATTATTTTCTGGGAAGAGTAAAAAAAAAAAAGCGAGATAATAATGGAGTTTTTTGTTTCTTTTTTTTGTTTTAATCTAAACTTTAAAATAATTATAACCTAATGGTTCAATACATATTTGCGTATTGTTGGTGTTATTAAGGTTTTGTAGCATAATTATATTTGTGGGTTTTCTTTTTTCTGTAAAAGAAAATTATGTGAAAAGAAAATTGTCGCTATGTTGTAGTGATTTGCTATGTACGTTGACAAGAATAAATGTTTTAGTTTTTTATTTTATTTTATTGTATATACTATTATTGTTTCATGAAAAGATCTCATCCTTACTTTGAGATTTTTTACTTCCTGAAGTAAGTGAACTATTACTATATAAAAATATTTTCCACCCAAAGTGAAAAATTAATGATAACAAAAACAAAGTTGCTCCTGAAGTAGCAATGTTACGATAATATATTTACCATATTAAATTGCTCCAGTAGTAGCATTATAGTGAAATATTTGATAAAATCTTATGAATCGATTTCTTTCTATTCCCTGAAGTGAGTAGGCAGTAAATTATTTTGTGGTAAATTATAGACATTAAATCTATAACAATAATACAGCAATTATATACCAAATACTACTCTTCACCTGAAGTGAGAGATCAAAAGATCAATTTGAGGTCGTATCCTGATGGTGATGACGTTGACCATGCTCTCGTTAACAACGGCTTTACTATTTTAGATATCGCTAATTTCTTTGTCAAAAATCCTGACGGTGATGTGAAAATTAATTTAGAGATAGAATTGTCCAATATGCCAAACACCTTGAAGGTGTTGTGATCTTTTGGCCACTATAGTAATGATACTATTTAATTGACATTTCTATCTACATGTTTTGAAGAAAATAAGATCTAAATTTATTAATGACAAAAATATGCCTTGCACGTAGTGTAACTCATATTACCTCTGTGGGTATTGTGAATTTTATTAATCGCCTTGAAGGGGATGTTAATCAATGATAAACAGGAAATCAATTAAAACTTCCAGTAGAGCATATGCCGTTGAATTATTCTGCAAAGATAGATGAAAACTTTTGTAGAGTGTAATTACTCCGGAGAGTGAAAACAAATAAATGCTCCTAAAGAGAAAATTTAATAATTTATCATTGTCTCTGAAAGAGTAATAGTAAACAAACTTTGCTCCTAAAAGAGCAAGAAAATGTTAGAAGGAGAAAGTGCATTGAAATACATTATATTCTCCAGGGTATCAAAGAAGGATGTAAATTGCTCTACCAACACAATTATTTTGAATTTAAAAATTTATTGTTCTCTCCAGCAGAGTAGTGATACACTTTGTTTTCAAAAGAAAAAGAACACTATGGTAGAATGAAAATAATTGCATAACAAATACTCTGTCAGAGTAAACGCTCATGTGGAGCGAAATTGTTCTGGTATATTTGAATAATTTATTCAATATTTTTTCTCCAGAAGAGAAATTCTATAATTTGGCATAACTACTGAAGTCATTCTGGTTTCAAGACGAAACAAGAAAGTTTATACGCATTAAATTTGGAGGACCAAGAGTTTCTTCCAACAAATTATAATATCAATCGATATATCGATGAGATAGCCACATGTATGATTCTCGTTAATTTGCAATTTGAAGTTTGCAGAAATTTTATTATGGAGTTAAATTGGTAACTTGTAGATTTTCATTTTCTGCTGTTACGAGAATTTTGATTTGACAATTGTGGTGAGTGTACGACTCAATACCAGAATGATAGAAGTTGAATATTGAGTGCCTATAAGAGCAATAATGAAGTGGTCTAGTAGAATCGTTT